GGGTGGGCAATGATGCTGTGGCTGGGGAGGGGGTTCCCACCTTCATCCTTCGGCCAAGCCAAATCCTGCTCATCGTGATATTGTGAGGTGAGGACCACGCCCTCATTGGGGCATGTGAGCGCGTGATATCCTCGTTTAGGAACTGCCAGATACTATTGAGAGGATCGTCCGACCAGACAGCAATCAACCAACTCTTTTGCCAAGGCCACGGGAAAGCAGCGGGTTAAGCCAGCGGTGATTCCACAGCAGAAAATATCTCCCATGATGTTGCGCTAGGTAAAGCTTCCGCCGACAAACGAAGCCTGCTCGGCCATCTTGACCTGTTCTGTCAAGCGGAGATAAGCTTGAGAAGGGTCGGCGCCGCGCCGTGCTGCACAACCCCCCCTTCTCGAAACTCAGCTGCCCAGCCATTGGATGAACCCTCTCACAGGGAATATGGATACATGGCATCAGGCCATCGAGCTGCCTGTTCGGGTATGGCCGAGTTACATTAGGATGGCAGCATGGCTGGCTCATGAAGTGCCACAAACCGAGGCGGACATGGTGGGTGGAGAGGGGCAAGACGAGCGCCCAGCGGCGCGGAAGGCTGGGCGCCATGGCTGCGCAGTGGCAAAATTTGCGTCAATAGGACACGGTAAATTGCGCTACATACTACTATGTAGTCGTCCTACATAGTAGCAGCATTGGCACTTGCTTCGACGTCTAAGTTTTCTTTTTGCTGGTCTTGGTTTTTCCTCACGGGCCGAAGCTGAAAGCTTCGCGATGACGCCCGCACTGGTAAGCTTTGGTTATCAGCGTCACACGGGAGCTGTAGCACAGCGCGCGTTGTCACGATAAGAAAAGAGCTAGGGGGTCTCAGGACACACGAGCGTGAATGGCCAAACCATCTATCTTCCAGGCGTTGTATGTGGGATCGGCAGCGTCGCCAAGTTCCTAAGCACTGTATCCAAGTCGTCGCCTAGGCCGTTACACCCAGTCCCCATTGAATCTTGGCTCCAATCAACACCTATGAAAGCGGTGAAAAGCTTAACTGCGTGGTTGATTTCGGCGTTGCCCCCAATTCGCTCAAGTCACAAGCTGGTGCTGAAAGCGGCCAGCGCAGGCGAGCCTTTGGTGTTGGGTCTTGACCATGGAGCAGGTTCCCACTAGACTGGGCACCTGGACACCTGCTTGATAGAGGAACCCACAAGGAATACCAAGACCGCGCTGGGTACAAGGGCTACTATTTGCCGCTCGTTTACTACACACGAGACGGGAATTCTCGAGTATAATTGAAACCGAGTTCCCGGTGCCCTCGCAGGAAGAGTAGCATCAGCTCGCTCCTCTCATCCCCTTGTTGGAATTCGCGACAACATCTACTAATCATGGCGGCAAATGCTGGCTCCAACGACGTTGACATGGCCATGTCTCACAAGCCTGAGACTGCCAAGCCCCTCTATGAACTCGATGAGAAGCATGCCCTCTCTGAGACGCGCTCGCCTTCGTCCAACGACCACGAGTACCCAGGAGAAATCTTTGAGGCTGACTTGGAGGGCGAGGAGCCCACCGAGGAGGAACTGAAGACTCTTCCTCGTGTTTCTGGAAAGATTCCATGGACCGCCTTCACCATTGCTTTTGTCGAGCTCTGTGAGCGTTTCGGCTACTATGGTTGTCAAGTGCTGTGTATGTTGAGATTGAATCGCATTTCTTAATCTCTTTACTGACTCTCAAAAGACACAAACTTCATCCAGCAGCCTCTTCCTGTGATCGACGGTGTTGTGCAGACAACCGGTCGTGACCCCAGATCAGAGGGTCAGCCTGGAGCACTTGACATGGGCCAACGAGCCTCCTTTGGTATCGGTCAATTCAACTCTTTCTGGGCCTATACCACGCCCATCATAGGTGCCATCATCGCTGATGAGTACCTTGGTCGTTTCAACACCATCTTCGTCGCCATTGCCTTCTCAATCATCGGTCACATCCTGCTCATCATTTCCGCCATTCCCCCTGTCTTGACTAGCGGCAATGCCATTGGTCCATTCATTCTTGGTGTCATCACTCTTGGTTTTGGTACTGGAGCTTTCAAGGCCAACATCTCGCCTTTGATCGCTGAGCAATACCGCCAATCCAAGCCTCGTGTTATTATCGACCCTAAGACGGGTGCGCGTGTCATTTCGGATCCCAACATCACCGTGTCCCGTATCTTTTTGTACTTTTACATGGTAAGTTGCTAGTCAACCCAGCCAAGAAAATATCACGCCCTAACAGTTGCTCAGTTCATCAATACCGGTGCCCTCACCGGCCAAATTTCCATGGTCTACGTGGAAAAGTACGTTGGTTTCTGGTGCGCTTGGTTGCTCCCCACAATCATGTTCTGCTTGTGCCCTATCGTGCTCTGGACATGCCGCAACAAGTACCACCGTACCCCGCCCACCGGATCTGTCCTCATCCGCGCCATCAAGCTTTTGAGTCTCGCAGTCAAGGGCAAGTGGTCGATCAACCCCGTTACTACGCGCAAAAACTTCAAAGCCGACAACTTCTGGGAGGATGTTAAGCCCAGCCACCTTGGCAGCAACAAGCCAAGCTGGATGCAGTTTGATGACGCTTGGGTGGACCAAGTCGCGCGTGGAATGAGGGCCTGCTCTTGCTTCACCTGGATCCCACTTTACTGTAAGTCTTTCTTTGGGCTCAGCCCTTTTGCCAAACTCAAAAACTAATAATATGAAAAGGGCTCTCATACAACCAGATGAACAACAACCTCACCTCGCAGGCTGCTACCATGACACGTAACGGTGTCCCCAACGATGTCATCACCAACTTGAACCCCATCTCTCTCGTCATCTTCATCCCAATTGTTGATAATTTCTTGTACCCAGCCCTCCGCAAGGCTAATATCCGCTTTACACCTATCAAGCGCATGGCTCTTGGTTTCATCCTCGCTTCCTTCGCCATGGTGTCTGCAGCTGTCATTCAGCACTACATCTATCAGACCGGTCCTTGCGGCAAGTTCATGAACAGCTGCGACGACCCAGCCCCTATCAATGTCTGGGTGCAGTCTGTTCCCTACGTGCTCGTCGGTTTCTCCGAGATCTTCACTTCCATCACCGGTCTCGAATTCGCTTTCACCAAAGCCCCGAAGAACATGCGCTCCCTTGTTACGTCATACTTCCATTTCATGAGCGCCTTCTCCAATGCCATTGGCCAGGCTTTTGTGTCACTGTCTGAAGATCCTCTGCTCGTGTGGAACTACACTACCGTTGCTATCTTGGCGTTTTCCGGTGGTATTCTCTTCTGGTTCCACCAGCGCAAGACCGACAAGCAGGAAGATGCCCTCAACATGCTTCCCGACTCGACTTATGTCGGCACACAACGCAAGCGTGTTGGCGAGGTTGAGGAGGGCATTGCGGGACACAACATTGAGTCGCACGTAAGGACTTAGATTGTGTGTTGTAGTAAGGAACTTGGGATGATGAATACGCAGGTCATATATATGTACATGATACTGTGTATGGCTTTCATACGATTGAAGATACCTAATTGCTTTTGTAGTTAAGCATGAATGAGCTGAAGCTCTCAACATACTGAATCAGTTATATTCTCCTTGTTAGTCTTGACGTGTAAAGTGACTGAAGTTCAACGGAACCGTGCCAATCTGCGAAATAAGGGCGTTGCCCATATATAGTAGTAGATATGTAAAAACACTCTTATCCTTATCTAGCTCGTTCCAAAAAGGTCAAGCCAAGATGACTTGAATGAAAGTACTCAAATCTGGACTAAGCTAACTGACATTACATTGTCTTTCTCTCACTACTATTGAAATTATTGAAACATTGTAGGTTGTTTTATGTCATCCTGTATTGCCTTTGCTACGACATTACTTCCGCTAATCGATAGAGAGACCCACTCCTTGCATCTCGTCATACATTCAGGTACAACATATCTAGCTCAACTTGCTGTTGCCTGATTAGATTTTTCTAAACCCACTCGTAATGTGTGCAAAGTGATTTGAATTGGCATTGTAGAACAACATCGACAGTTTACCAACTTGATTGCCCACACTGATGAACTATAAGACACAATATCGATGCACCAAACTATAGAAACCCAGTACACCAGACATCTCTCAAAGTTTTCAGTACATCTATCTTCAAAAACCTTTAATCTTGAAGAAGAATTCAAAAATCACTGCACCCTATACTCTTTTCTCGTTCACTTCGCCTTTCAACAGCCAAATCGGAAGCCCCAAGCGGTTCTTCTTCACGCCTCACCATTCACCGCTCACCAATCTTCCATCCCACGATACAATCTTCTTTTGAGAAAAATCAGCAGCGCCAGCGAAAATATTCCCAAAACCACTCATCAAATAACCACTACACACCCCACCAGCGCCAACCCGACTAAATCACCAGCTCCAACTCAACCATATCCAAAAGAAAATGCCAAATCAACACACCCAAATCCGTAACGACAACCCCTCCTCTTCCTCCTCCTCCTCCACCACCACCACCTCCCTCCTCACACCGCATCAAAAACACCTCCTATCCCGCTACCTCCTCCACCGGCGCAACGAGACGGAAGCCATGAACACGCTCGTCGAGCTGGAGATAAGCGTGAGGCGCGAGCGCGATGAGCCAGGGGTACGGTATCTAGGGCGGTACATGGCGCGAGTGAGGATGCGGCTGGCTGGGTATCGGGAGGAGAGGAGGAGGGCTGAGGGGGAGATTGGGAGGGAGATGGAGAGGTTGAGGAGGGTGGTGGGGGAGGGGAGCGGGGTTGCGAAGATGCAGGCGGAGGAGGTGAGGAGGGTTATGGGGAGGGGGGTGGAGTGTTTGCGGTAGATGGGAGGTTTGAGAGTGGGCTTCGTGGAGGTAGTAGAGATTTATGGGGTTGTTCTTAAAAAGAGGTGGATAGAAGATTGCGTAGAGTCATTGGATGCGAGACTTTGCTGTGCGACCTTTTTCTTTCACTGGTCTTGTGTGATTTCTGGTTCACTTCTTCACTGCAGAACATCTTTTCTTTGTCAAAATCAATATACATTGGTTCCATTAAGGGTAGTCATAATAGTAGCAGACTGGCTCTGATACTTCATAACTTAGTGTACAAGGGGTATATGCGAAGGGCTGAGGGGAAATTTGGGATGAGCTATAGTACAGAATCAAAGTACATGCACGAGAAGCGCTCAAAGTACTTTTCGAAATATTAAGGAAGATAGATTTTGTCATCATTAAAGGGAGAGGACTTTGCTTTGTTGCCTTAAATCTCACTCAGCCTTGGGTCCACAAGACTTAAGCAGAGCGCTCACCAAGGCTGTTTTCTGAGTCCGGCTGTGCCTCTTCAGTGTGAGGCTGCGAGATCTCACCGAGACACCACATGCATATCTCCCTGACATGCGTTGACCCGCAACAGCAATGCGCCACATGGTCAACATATGTATTATGTAGAGTCGTTTCTTCGTTTTCGTAACATCGTAAACAGAGCCATCGGTCGAGAAAACGACTGCGAAGGCTGCACTGGCACTGGTGAACTGAAAGATCCTTTCGTTGCTTTGGTATGCCTGAGGGAAGATGATTATCGCAAAACCGGCGTTTTCTTCCTTCTGTAGTTTGGTATAATGATCGAAGGACAGGTGATGGATGGGCTACATTTGAAGCCACTGGTCCGGCAAACGTGCATGTGCCAAGATTCAAGTTTAGGAAATCGTCGACGCACTCGGGTGGGCCAAAGCTTTCTTCCTCAAGGGGTACGTCAATAAATCCCTGATCGTGATAGGGTGCAGATGTGGCAGGTGATGGGGCTTGCCATTGTGGTGTAGTGAGATTATCTTTCAGGTGGTGGGGGCTCAATATGGGTATCTCGGACGGCGAGAGGAGGATGAAACCGCTGTAGTTGGGCAGCTCATCATCTTCGCATGGCTTCTCGAAGATACTCTGGTATACACAATGGATGCGGCATTCGTTGCAAGTCGTAACTTTGCAGTTTGTGCAGGGACGAGACTCGGCGACACCGTCTATTGCTCCACATTCGACGTATTCACTGCATTCGTATGCATAGAAGAAGGACGACTTGACATGTCGTTCTCTTCGTATCCGGACACCTTTTCCGGAGCATCTCAACTTGCCGAGCAAGTTTTCTAGGCTACCAGGCTGTGGGACAAGTGTCTGGTATATCGACTTTGAGCACAACAGTAGCGCTAGTAGGTCGTCGGGGCAAAGACAAGAAAGGACGTTCTCAAGAAGACCATACTCTCGCAGAGCCACTAATAGAGGACAAGGCGGTGCTGACCCCGCGGCACTGTCGTGTCGGCTCTTCTTTCGCTTCTCGTGCATCTTGTCTGACGATCTCTGGCGCTTCAGTAGTTTTGAGGGCGTTGTCTCACCACACTCCCCATTTTGGGATTCGCAAGACAGTGTAGGCCCATTTACGAGCATCTGACTGTCTATTGATCGAGGGGCCATAATGATCTTGAAGCTCCTGGAAAGTGATAAGCAGGGGTATATGCAGTATAAAAGGGTAGTGCAAGGCCATCACGGACCATGCAGTTCATGATGACAAACCACACTACTGGACATAGACTGGGGATTTGATCATTTGGTAGAATGCTCCCGGACTAACGTACTTCACTTTGATGTCGAAACGTATATGCAGCTTCCCGCGCCTCGATAAGCGCTTAAAAGCTGGTCGACTCCAGGCCGGGGTCCATGTTATTGTCGTCACGTTTTGCCGGTTTGTCGGGTGTTTCAGAAAAAAAGACGCGATAGAGGCAGTCTCCTGCTGAAGTATAGACGTGATGGTTTGACAGGTTTGTCGGCGCGTAGTGAGGTGTCAGTAGTGTCAAAAACGGTATTACAACAGTGTTGTTGTGGGGACAAAATTCGAAAATCATCGGACCGCAAAGTGTGCCGGAATGAAACGGAACTTCGTTCCGACGACTTCCGAGCGCCAAATCAGCCCTGATGACATAATCGCACCTCGGTCACTCCCGCCGTTCACCCGTTACAAAACAAGAAAATCTCACTCACCCTTCAAGGCGGCAGTCAGGATGAATAGCCGTATCGATGCAGACCTGAGACTATGCATCTGACGAAAATTTTCATTATCTATCACATGCTCAGGCCGCAAAGTTTCAAAGTGCACAGTTCTTGTCACTCGGCCTTTTGGTTTAATGTGGTTGGCAATTGGGCAGCACGATTACACAAATGGTACTGCCAAAAATGCATCTTAGGGACTAGTATTATTGCCCAATGATTTGGATATACATAAGCTCTCATTTTGCTCTTCTTCCAGACGGAGCTTTCATCTGCTCCGACATGTGTCCTACCACGTCCGTTTTAGACCATCACTCAGTTCTTCTTGTCGGGAATGGAGTAGCAGCATCCGATGTCGAGCACGTTGTAAAAGGTGCAATCTCGCTGCACCCAGAAGCCGCCTTTTTCGTAACAGGTTGGCTTGGTGGTGCAGATTCCAGAGGGGTCGGATCGTCCGCAGGGCGCTGGGTAGGGATCTGGGGGAGCCCCCAAAGCAACAGATGCGAGGGTTGCGACGAGGAGGAACTTCATGTTTAAGATGAATTAGGCCTGTGGAAATTGGGTTTGAAATTCAGGGAGTAGTGTGGAGAGTGTATCCCTGTGATGCACTGACTTTGATTTTGTGCAGACGCAAAAGTGAAGCTGTTTAAGTACTGTGTATCCTTGTCTGCGACGCCGCTGACATGGTCGTAGCACACTTGTTGTGTTCGTGTTACTATGCAAGATGAGGCAGGAACAGCTGCACTGATTGGACATCTAAAGACAGTGTGGAACATATCCGGTTCACGTTGGTTCTTGGCCATAGACCGTCGCATTTAGCTCCAGTTAGCTGGGCGTGCTGTATATCGAGTCCAACCCCTCAGCCAATACGTTTGCCAGGCGTACGATCATCGACACATTGCTCGTATGGGTATATTGTTTCGGGACGCTTAGCGCGTCGGTTAATGTGGCTTCCCCAGATTCTTGTTTCTCCAGAACGCATGATAAGGCGGCACGCATCCACTAGTGATTCTGCCATAGTATTGAGACGTCAGTATGTTTGTCATTCATGCACATGCCAGAGGCTGGTATAACTAAGGAAGCTGAAATCGCAGCCCCTGCTGGAGTTGCGTGATGTCGTCGACTCCGAGGATTTGTAGCTGTTGAGATGTTGTTGAGTGGACGCCACGTTTTAGGTGGCCATGCCCACCATGGAATACGATGTGTAATAGCTTTAATGGGACAGGTATAGACTCCTCGGAGACGTGGTAGACCTGCAGGTCAGTCGCAAGCCCTGGTCACAAGCAATGGCATGAAAAATTCTCCTGCTGACCATGGCAAATTGAGGCGATGCGTGTCTTTGGTGGAGGCAGAGCTGGATGCACGAGGCATGGGATATCAGCGTGGCAATGTGGGGCATGCAAGGTGATAGGGGTTGGGGTTGGGGTTGGGGTTGTAGAGGCACGCAGGCACAGGGATGGCGTCTGTCTTTTGTAGTATGTACATGTAGTATGATGTATGATGTAGTGGTAGCACAGCCTGTGGCACACTTGGTGGTTCACTACAGGCAGGGACGTGCGTTATCGCCGTTATCTGTAGCAAAGTCATGTGACAAGCGAGCAGGCATAGATGGTGGCGCGGCATTTATGCACCCGCACACCTCTTCTAATTTTGTCCTAAGAAATTGGCGCATACTAGAAGAGTAAGGAAAGATGACCGGCACGTTCTCGGCTACGTCCGCTGTTGCAACTACTCGACAAGCCCATACTCGGAGTAAGCGGTGCAGGGCCTGGTAGTGAGTACGTCACTGAAACACGTTTTGGTGTCTGTATCGCCGCGATGCAGCCTTGTCTACAGTACTAACACACATGTAGTAGCCAGCGACGACGCCCGAATGTAGCCGCGCATTCCCAGGCTTAGATGCGGCCAAGCATGGACTCTGTCAACGAGGGCAGGATGAGCCTGCCAGCCGCCCTGGAGCAGTGAGTCGTGGCGTGGTATCAGCAGCCAGGCCGTCTGCAGCGTGCAGGGAGCAAATTTGTTCCAAAAAGCTTCTAGAAGGAAGGTTTTTCGGGCAGTCCAGGTTGCATAGGGAGCCGGTTGGCGCCGACGGCTGCCCGCACGCTTGATTGGAGGATGCCGGCGCCCCAATGTACAGGGGGCCGCCAGCGTGCAGGGCCTTCTCCACCTTTTGTTCTCAGCATCAGCCGCATGCCCTGACCGCGACCTCACCTCATAGCACGGCCATGCTATTGTTGCTCTCCCGCAATTCTTTATCAGCTTCCGACAAACCTCCCAGTTCGTCTCCACACACTACTCCATCCCCATCCGCCGCCTGGATAGCCCTACGCTATCTCCGCTATGCCGACTTGATCGCTGCATTCGACTCTTGAGGATTGCCCTTCAGATCAGGCTAGAACCTTGGCTATCGAAATGGCCATGGCTCCACGAAAAGGCACGCGACGGGCGTGTGACCCTTGCTCAGTCAGTAAGTCGCAGTCTCGGCTCTATACACTTACTCACAATTGACCCTCTCCTTCCTCTGTCCAGGAAAAGTGCGCTGCGATGGCAACCAGCCCTGTGCAAGGTGCGAGGCCGCCAAGTGGGACTGCACCTATCTCAAGACGCATGGAAAGAGCGGCCCCAAGGGGCCGCGGCGGACCACCGAAGCCGCCATCAGGAGACTGCAAGAACGCAGTAAGACTGGCTGTGATAGATCGAGGAGCGCCAGTGAGACCAGTCTCGATACCGGCAGTCCCGTTAACGAGCTGCCGTACATCTCTCCAATGCCTCCCTTAGGCGAACCCAGTACGTATTCCAATGGATGGCCTGACGTTATGAGTCCCACACTCTCCAGCACCCCCCAGGAACCCCAGAGAATACCGGTAGCCTGTCTCTCGCAGTATCTCGAAATATACCAGGCACGTGGTTATGGCATATGGCCAGTCGTTGATGCCGAAACACTGACTGCACGGCTCCTCACCCACCCCCACGATGTAGAGGCCTACGCACTGGCCACCGCCATATGCGCCGCTATTGTGAGCCAGTTCTCTATTGACGTTGAGCCGGGAAGTCCGGTCGAGGGCCCTTATCGCGTCTCAAGCAGCGCCTTCGAGTCAGAGGCAAGAAGAGCTAGAGATGAATCCGATCATCTGGAAAACATTACCATGTCGTCTCTTTTGAGCAGTTTCTTCTTGCATGTTTACTCTGCCAACGTCGGTCGAATGAATGCTTCAACTGTCCTGCTTGGAGAGGCTATTTTCAAAGCCCATATCCTTGGCCTACACAACCCAACGCACTACCAGGTCATGAATCCAGAGCAGACACAGTGTGCTTTACGCGTCTACTGGCTCCTCTTCATCACCGAGCGCGCCCATTCCTTGCAGCATGATGTCCCGACGACACTCAAACGTTCACCAGATCTTCCGAGTCTTCAAGACTTGCGCGATGGATCCGTCACGCCTGCATTCGTCCAGCTCTGTCGACTTTTCAATATTCTCGATGTCACAATAACGGCAGATGCTGTTAGTGCTCGTCGAGCACTCGCCGTAGCTCAGCACCAGCTGAGCAGCGATGAAGATCCCCGCAGTCTCGAAAATGAACTCCAGCGTGCTGATATCACAATGACACAACAATGGATGCGTATTTTTCTGTGGCAGCACGCGCTCAATGTTACCAACCTAAGCAGTCAGCCAAGTCAGGACGAAGAGTTTTCGTTTCGTTTCCCTGCCAGGGTGGCACAAAACGTGCTCAGTAATTTGAACAGTCTTTCGCGCGAAAGTGTAGAGGCGCATGGGCCCGGCATGGTATGACCTAACTACGGTCAAGCTACTTACTCTGCTAACGGTTACAACAGGAGTCTAAGCTTTTCGACGTGGCAAACTCACTTGCTGACGTTATGATGATCATGCCGTCACTAAACCATGAGTCGTATTTCGATGTTGGTCCTAGAGATCTCATGCATTCGCTTTCTCAAGTGCTCGCTGGCTTTCGAGGCGGCAATCCCGCCGTCATAAATATACTACAAGAGAAGCTCACTGCACTTGGGCTCAGTGTTGGATCTCCACAGAGGTTACTGGAGCTCTCTTCGCCCGAAGAAGAACAGGACGAGTGCCAGCCTAGACCCATGCGAGGCTCGTCACCATATGGGCCACCTACAAACGACCCGCCGATAATGTCACCTCTTCCACCCCCTATGAGCATGAACGGCAGATATTGATCCAATTCGATGCTTCCAAGATGTAAAAACTCATAAATCACTGCACATTGCATAGTCTCTGAAAAGAAGTGTCAAAACAGTGAGGATCCCTGATTGGTTCATATCAAATCTGGCGTACCAAAACTTTCAGCAAGACTTGCTCGCTTCGACAGAAATACCTCACTCATGGTGCATGAGGTTTTCTGCAGTAGCTCAAGAAACTGGAATTTAATTGATGGGTGGCCGTAGACGAATGCCGATGACAAGCTTCAATCACAAGAATCTCGCGAACATCAAGCCTGGCATGCCAGCAATCTAACCCCTGGACGGTACTCAGAGTGGATGCACAGTTATACCAAAACGTTCTGCTCAGCTCTGCTCTCAACTTTGACGTATTGGATTCCCCATGTAAGCAGTTGCCAGAACTTTCGACAGTCCCCTATGGGCAAGCCTTTCCGACACTCAAGCTTCTCCATATTGGCAGTTGGCAAAGCCGCCCAATACACCAATATAGATGTTGATTTTCATGCCCAAAAAAGCTCATCAGCTTGAAATCAGCCTACAGTGGCCTTAATGCTGCTTCTGTCCACGGATGATACTAGGGCGATTGAGGCAGCTTGCGTAATCAAAAGCATTCTGGAAGATCCTAGCCTCAACCAGCCGCCGATCACTACACTAGTGAACCACAAGCACTAGAGCAAGGCTACATCGTTCACTGCAGAACATAAGCGCCCCTTCGATCAGGTGGGGCACTGTATGCTCTTACGTGCCATTGTTGCGTAACCTTCACATAACGAGCGGACAGTCCATCTGGGTTTGAAGCAGCTGTAGAGGCCAAGGGGAAAGCCATGGAGGCTAGTACCGATCAGGACTCTCGCGAATCAACCCACAGCGCTCTGCAGAAATCGCTCCAGGGGAAAGGCTCAGTCGTGCTGACCATTGTACTTTGTTTTCAGAGTCTCTCAACTTCATCGCAATCTCTCAGCTTTATACTCTGGGTTGCCCTTGTTCTCAGAGTTTTCATCGTTATATGGCCCCCTTTTTTTACTCAGGCAGTGTAGATTTCCAAACTTTTATGATGAACGTCGGAGATGGAGCATAATACACAAAGCAGCGCTTTGTGCATGTCCTTGTCATTGGTTTCTTTTTGATGTATCATAGATCCCTACACATAACTTTTAGTGCCCCTGAAAGACCGCTTAAGCTTATTCTCCCCCTTCTATGCCGATAATGGTCACCTGTACACTTTACAGTGTGAACTGCCATTATATGACCATGGCACCGATCTCATGAGGACGGAGTCTGATGAGCTTTCGTAATTGTGTTGTTTGCTCGCGTTGCTGCCTGAAGTGTGGGGCTAGGTACGTATGTGAGGGGTGAAGACGGTTGTTGATATGGATCATGTCTGACAACGTCAGTTGGCTAGTAGCGACACGTGGATTCGATAAAACTTCGATGGAGGAGATATAAGTAATTATATAACTGTTGTTTAACCACACGATAAGGTCGTGAGAAGATGGGTGGGTACCTGAAGGTAGCAGATGCAGTCCAGCGCCAAGCAAAGTGTGACGATATGCAAAGTGAAGGCGGAATCCCTGTGACCAGTGATTGTCAACACTCGCGCTCACTGCAAAAATCTAGCCGCCCGTCGTGTGCTAGCACATTGTTCGATGACTCGTTTTTATATTTGTTTTCGCTGCAACCCAAACACACAGCGCTTCAGTCATTACGAAAACAACTCGACCAAAGCATTCGACCCCCAACTGCGCATTCGAGCTGAAACGAGAACATGGCACCCTCGCCCACCCATCTGGGCACAAGGATGATGCGTAGTCTGTTGACGCGCGGCGACGAGGATAAAGTACCTGCCGAGCTCAAAGGAGCGCTCTCGCTACTACAACTGTCGGATCTTGAAGGACTCGAGGAGCGCTTTCTCGCTAATGATGCGTTTCTCAAGCCATGGGCCGTGTTTCGCGATTCTCTCTTTGTTGTGAAGCCTGGTGCAATTACTGCCGCGACTGCAGTTGCTACAAGTGATGGCGATAGAGGAGGTATTTCGCGTACGGACTTGCTGTGGTTTTATACACAATTCGACCAAAACACATATCGCCACGATCCCAATGTGGATACCAACAGTGTATCCTGTGCTATCGACAAGCGAGACTGGCGTGTTGAGGAGTATGAGAAGCACCTCTTCGCGTGGCTGCTGCAGACGTTCAAAGTCGGCAAAGCGCACAACCCGTGGGGATTCGATTACTTTCAACTTCGAAACATTTGCACTGCTTGGCAAGCAGTGTTTGTACCCATTGTGGATGCAATCCGTGCATCATACAGTATCAAGGGTCGCCGACACTATGGGCGCCTCGCGCTCTTCGTCGAGGAGAGATGCCCCTCTGGTCTTGCCTTCCCCAAAGAAAACGTCAACATCCCCCCTGACAATCTAATATCTTCAACTTCTTGTCGCGTCTTACTCATGCCAAAGGACAGTAAGGAATCAGGTGTGCTGACACGAAAGCATTACGACGAGACTGAGAGGGAACTTCGTTCTGTCTATCCCCAGTACGGTGGCTTAGTTGAACGTCCACGGTTCAAACAAAAGATGGAGGTGTGGCTAGAGGAACAACGAGCGAGGGCAAACCTGAGAAAGGCTGTTGAGCGGACTAATGAAGCCAAGCGTATTCAATTTAGTGTTGTCAGGCGCGATGAGCGTCGAACTCCGGTGAAGAAGATACTCTCAGGCAAGCACGATATGGATCCAGAGAAAGAGTGTGGTGCCAGTCCAATCAAGCGCTACTCGAACAGCTTACGACGCTCACTATCCCGCAGTGTGTCTAAGCAGATGCCAAGGGAGGAGCCGAAGAGTCCGTTGCATGGAGTCATACGTCAGCTCTTTATACCTGATGATCCGCCGTCGCCTGACCTACTGAATGGGCAAACCCTCTCGACAACCGAACGAAATTTGAGCAATGCTTCAACACGTTCATCCAATACGACTATCGTTACGCCTTGGCCTCGTATGGACACACAGCGCAAGCCATCTGAGCAAAGCGTCTACGATTCAGTCCGCGTGTCCAGTTCATTCAACCCTTCGAATGGGACACAGAATCTACAAGCACACGCAAAAACTAATGGACCGGATTCATTGCCCGAGGATCAGATCACTGCCCTTCTGCACCCTTTGTACCGAAGTAGGAGCACGCAACGTGAGCAGCAAGATGCATGCACCCCAGCTAGCGACCAAAAGTCATATGCGGAGTTACAAATTCCAAGCAATAATGGTAGCGAGTGGGAGAAGAATCTATCGTTGAGGAACTTAGAAGCAGTCAAAAAAAATACTGGTCGGACCCTAGAGCCGAAGCGGACCGCAAAACCACCCACCCGCTTGCCCGGACCAATCAAGCCTACTCCATATACTGGCCACCTGCGGGTCTCTTCAGAAAACAACAACCGTACCGTACTGCCCAAGTCCTCTGGGGGACCCGATACAAATCTTCCACAGCCAGTCGCGTGGCCGGGTACGTCCCCAACCAATACATCAGTACTATCTTGCATAAATAATGAGGACAACTTTGCGCCGCCTGTCCCAACGAAAAGCCCTATGCGAGGGGGCAATACACGAGGCTATACTGGTATTGCCCAGTCACAACAGAAGATACGTTTTGGGCCCGATCGTGACTTGACCCGCATAGTGTCGAAAGAAAACATTCGTGCTGCGCTTGGCGGACACTCAAGGGATAACTCAGAAGAGGGTATTTTGCCACCACCATCCAAACCAATGCGCAGTGACCAGGATGCAGTGACCAATTCCGGACTTACTGTGCTGCAAACGTTCAACACACACATGTTCCCGCGCAAAGAAAATCGAAAGGGTACCCCAGTGGGAGCATGGGTCGGTGCGCCGAAAACCAGAAACGTAACTGGCGAGTTTTACTAGTCGGATGTATTCCAGGGGAAAATGAGAACCAAGGTGAATCAGATACGGCCACGAAAGTAATGTGTAATGTTCGAGACGGGGGCTTGTCAGTGCTCCCATATCCCAGATGATCACGGCGGCTTCAAAACAAGCAACTTGACCGCCATTTTGGAGACATTCTCACGGGTGCAGATCAAATGTGTTTGTAATTTTGTATCTCTGCGAACACTGTATCAGCGAGTCCGAAGTCATTCGTTTCATGCTCGCTGTTGATACTGGGGCGAAGGGGTATTATCGGGATTGCAATGGATAGAATCCAAGGCCGATGTAGTCTATGAGTAATGAATTATGTTTGAAATATAGCATGTTTCCAAAGTGTCATGTGAGGGCTGTGAACATTGAGAAGGAGGTGTGGTGGTGGTGGTGGCGCCCCACACGAAAATGTCACGCTAGCCTCACCCTGGTGATAACATTACCAAACGTCATCAACTATCGCTTAATGCAGCCTGATATTACCGACAAAGTAAGCAAGAAAGTCATCCCCGCACAGACAGAAACACATTGAAAATTTATTCTATATTAAGAGTCAAATTACAGTTGTTGTGTATGCTCATGCAAAATATTTCGACTAGCCCGAGCCATGTCCTTGAACAATCCTGGTAAATGACCATCGCAATGCGAGTAACTGCGAACTGAGGAACCTCATCAACAACTCAATAGGAGATGATGGTCTCCATACTTCACACCCTGGCAACTGAAAGAAGCAACGTTTATGCCAATGGGATGTTTACCGAATACCTAGAAAAAGCATCTCCAGGTACCAAGAATTAACACTCTCTACACCCAAGTCGGCATCCCTACGAGAACCTGGGTACACATCGTGACATCTCTACATGATTGGCGATTTTCGAAGGGGAATCACATGCATCATGGACTCACTGCGCCCATTCCATTGGACCGAGCGAGGAACAGGGAATGGGGCTAGAGTGTTTGGGATGCCAAAGTCGACCAAAGGAAAGACACATATATGGGCGAGCTAGACACGTCAGAAGAATAAACATTGTAGGGGTCATATGATGCCCGATTTTATGGAATTACAAGCCTCAACATCGCTTAGACGTTCAATGTGTAGACCCACCCAGTCAACATGTCGCCCCTTTATGCGTTGAGAATCTAGAAGTCAACGAACACCAGTTTCGACATGTATTCATCACGTAACTATGCGGTTTGCATGAAACATAGAGTTCTGTCTAATGATGACGTGCAGCCGTTATCTAAGACATGAACATGGAGACCTTCTACGACTACCTAATGTCTCGGTATGCGATGAAGCTGATCTTCGGTACTCCGTTGCCGCTGGGGGCTGGTGCTATACGTAGTAGGTACGTAGGGTACCGGACATCAGACGCACGGAGTTCCGGGGTGTAGCACCCAGGCATCTTTCCAGCCTTCGCGATCATGAGACAGAAAACTAATTCCATGTGTCAGCATCATGAGAAAAAAACAAAACAATTGCGATTCCCGTTCGAAAGGGACAAGAACAACAGACAATTTACAGCCGTGTTCGCAAAGTACAAGCCACGCCTTGCACGCATCGGGAGTGGGGGGGGGGCGGGGGCGGTTTTGCTATACCTCATTCGGTTACTTGCAGAATGCATTACACTCATTGATCCCAGAGTGACCTATCTTGTGTGGCATGTATCGTCAATATTTTGCCTCCTTATGGCTTGGATACATCTGTAGCTGCAGCGTCCAGGCTGCAAGAGATTGAGCGGGGCAAAACGGTCGAATTCATCTCGAGAAGTATTTGGATGAACCAACCCCCCCGAAACGATTACGCTACCAGTCGAGCATCAGCAGCGCAAACATGGGCAGTTATTTTTCCTCACAGCGCGAACACGGGCCCAAGAGCGATACACGACATACAACCGAAACGGGACCGTTTTGTGTGGTTTGTGGTGGGCCGTTTGATATTGAAGGCGAGGTTTACAATATCGATCCTAAAGACCCGCAATTCCAAGTACGGTGTTCCTTTCTCTGATAATATTCCTTTTTTGGTCACCAACTAATAAGAATCAAGTGGCTATATCATCTTCGTCTTATTGGCAACGCCGACGATGTATACCACCATGTGGTAGCTAGTGATGGACACGTGTGAGTACTCAAGCTTTCATGTTGTGTACTTCACTAAATTACCAGAAGACCTGTCAACACCTTTGATCAGTCCGAAGTTTTTGTCTCTGGGCCTGCCCGTTTTAGTCTTACTGGATCTGGGTTTTACCACGTTGCTGGATATAATGGACAAAACGATATCTGGGTCGACGCTCTCTCACACATTCCCGGCTCTGGGACCCTGTTCCCATTGCACGACTGCTGCTTGGATATAAGCTGTAGAGCTATCGAGTATCACCATTCTAAACAGGAAGAGTGCGATGACAAGACAGCTCTCGAAGTATTAGTTCAGCTACTCAACAGTTGCTTCACTGAACGACAGATCCAAGACGGGTCGCTTAGGTCAATCAATGATCTGTTCAATCTGTCTTCCCAGTGTAGCGTCTATGGACCTAGAAGCGTACTAGCTCTGACGAAACTGGAGTGGTGGGGAGGCGGTTACGACGTAAGTCTCAACAACCTTTATCTAGACACAAACTTAACACTACACAAGCGTTTCTTCACCAACCCCATCGAGCGAGTCGATACCACTGCTTTTGTGCAAAGGGTCCTGCAGAGCTCGCCGCGCACCAGAGATGAACCTAAGTTCACCGAAATACCAGCTCGCAAGCACCAGAACTTGGAGCGTCTTCCAAAAGAACTCCTGGATGAGGTGTGCAGCTACCTGCCGATCCCATCAACCGTAGCGCTTCACCGAACTTCCAAGATACTCGCGTTACAGATCCCGCTTGACTCCACCTTCTGGCGCAACAGTCTTGGTGACGGGAGCTTACATCCCCATATCTGGGACCTGGACACGAAGCGGATCGAGCAGCAGTTGCCGCACCCTGACATAGCACCTCTGGATCCAACAACTTCTTGGGACTGGAGGTGCGCAGCCAAAATTCTTGCAATGAAGCGCTTTCCTATCAGTGAGTGTGATGACCGCTTGGTCGATGTGCCCGCTGGCTTCTGGAATCGATGTAGGATATGGGCTACTATCGAGGAAGCACTACATCAATACGTCTTTGAGTGAGAAACTACCTAAGTTCCGATGATAGCATCAAGACTCCTGGTACATCAGGATATCTGTATCTTTACAAGATTCTTTGTCTATATTTTTAGGCGCATCTAATCTAGTGTTCGCACCTCTCGACGCCGCCATCCCACAACCACCTACACGTTCTTTCTCCGTACATATACCCACACGCCTTCACGGCTTCGCCATAACCGCAACAAACTTATCCCAACTATCACCAAACTTCTCATAGAACTCAGACGCCGCACTCGTCACAAATAGGTACGCCGCCTTCTTGCGCAGCGCTCTCGTCAGACCCTCAACCTCCTGTTCTGGGACCGAATGCACCATATACGCCGCACGCTCGCGCCCATATGGCGATGTTGCAAGCCACTCCTGATACTCCTTGGACACAAAATGCGCATACGACGTCTCCACCACAACCGTAACATCCGGCCCCGGAGCCGCCAATCCCTTATTCACCGCCGTCCCCGGATTATGAATAACCTAAAACTCCCCATCAGCTCTTCGCTCTTATCAAATCGCGCAAACAGGCTCCCCCGCATTTTCAAGCAAAAATACATACCAAGCCCTCCCCACCAAACGCATCTTCCCGCTTCACCCTCTCATCAATCCCATCAAGATACCTCTTCATCTCCTTCGAATACAAATTCACCGTCTCATCCACAAACACGCCTTCCACTTTCAACTTGGCATCCTGGCGCCCTCGCTCCGCATACGCACAGATATCACTGCAGATGTCGCCGTGCGCCCGCTTGCAATACGTCGCGCGCACGTACCCCAGCGTAGTCACATTGGGCAGCGCATTGAGCCGCGGGATCTCGCGTAGGTAGTCGGTGTTGGGCCACCAGGGTGCGGTGCCGGGACCGCTGTTGGGGTTGAGGATGATGAGGAAGTGGAGGTGGGGGTGAGCGGATAGGCTGGGGTTCGTTATTGTTAGCGGGAGACCACCATTTTCGACAATATAGTAGCCAGGGGACTTGGAAGTAGACGGGGGGGGAGGGGGGGGCGAACGGGAACAGGGAAGGGGGGGAAGGGGTGGTTAATTTACGCGGTGTAGAGCGGATCCCACGCCCCAGGGTGCGGATAGATATACAACGGAAGTAAAACTTTCGATTGCATATTCTGCGATTTTTTTGTTTTTCTCTTATACAAGAAAGTTAGATTCATTGGGGAGAGAGAGAGAGAGGCTGGGGTAAAAAAAAAACACAACGTAGGTTTAATTATTGCATTGTTGTCATCTTTTGTTGTTTTTTTTACTTTTGTAAACAAGGACCCAATTATCTGCTTACTAAGATGGAGGTGGGATACGAATAGTTAGGCACCTACGTATGCAAGTATGAGCGTGGCGTGCCCCTTTTTTCCGCTGCTATTTTTGAGACTTTAGGAGGGGATGTTGAGGTGTCAAAAGAATTGGGGCCTCTTAGCATGCGGCGATGGAGAACGTGGGGATTGGGGCTGGGGGTGATGGTACAGTTTGGGAAGTTTGGTAGCGTGAGAAGTGGGACTGATTACGATATGATATTGTGGCGATCATCTAGTACTGAGCATGAGCTAGTTTACTCGGGATGTCTTGGCAAGAATGCTGTTGAATGATAGCCTTGTAGACATAGCTGCAGTGTAACATTTGCTTCACACTACCCCAGTCTCCGAGGGTACCAGAGATGACAGAAATATGTTCATCATGGCTTTTAGTATTCTATGAGCTTTGGTCTTGGGTAAATACTATCTACAATCTATAGCAGACAACACTGAATTAGTTAAACACCTAATCATGTGCCTTGTCTAGTAAGCTCTTCAATATCTTTGCTGTGCTCCTCATGCCCTGCAGCGCATTCTCATCAGGTCCCTGCCCAGGCGTCCACGAGGCATGCGCAAAGTCAATCATCTTGACTTCTGCGAGCTTAGGCAGATTCTCATCTTCTTCTTCTTCTTCGTCTTCCGGGTGCGCTGAGCGTAACTTCTGCTTTGTGTTGCCGTACTCTTCCACATCACCCTCATATACGAGGAGTATACTTGCGCTGTACATCCTGCTCTCTTTGCTTTCAAATACTTCTTGGATATCCTTGACCTCACCTAGGAAGTATGCCAGCACTTCTCTCGCGCGATCGAGCTCTGCTTCCGATTTGGCACCAGGGTAAACGAACGATACGAAGCCCTCGTCCACATTCTCGGCGTTGAACTTGCGCCCGTACATCTTGTTGTACACCCAGCATCCATTCTCCTTGTCAATCTCGATATACTCCTTCAAGTCGTCGGGGACATCTGGTACGTCGGCGCCCTTGTAGGTGCGCATACCCGCTATCCTGAAGCCGAGGCTACCGCTTGTGGTTTCCTTGCTTACAGCATCGAGGCGATCTCGCTTCTCTTGCTTCGAGTCATCATCCCATAACCTTGCGCCGAGCTTCAGGTCTAAGACATTTGGCTTCTTGAATCCATGTGTGATGTTCTCCAGCACAATATGTAGATCGGTGTCGAGACGTTTGCCATGTAGGCGCTCGATGGATCCGTCGGCAGTCTTTATGGTGCCGCTTTCGACGCTTTCTACGGCGGCAGTCTGGTCGGTGGAAAGAGAGAGCTGGCCCATAAATGTGGGCAGATGGCGCGCAAGATCGGGATGGTCGGAGAGGGTTTCATAGAAGGTAATCTCAGAAAGAGTACACGGCTTTACGACCACGGCACCGGATTCGTCGCTGAGTACGCCTTCGCTGGAGTTTGCGATTTAGTATGGCAGGCAAGGAACGGCTGAACAGTAGGCAGCCGCCTTTGGGTCACACGTACTGGCCCGCAGCGGCACTGTTGTACGCTTTTAGCTTGGACGCGTCATATTTCTTGGTCGCCATGATGCTGGATAGGTGTATAGCTCTTGGTCTCAAGATCTTAGGCTCGGCAGGTTGGGGTTGGGGTTGGAGTGCAAGATGCACGAAGCTGTTGTGGGGTGATAGAGGACCCCACTGTCAGGCGGGTAACAGGCAACGGACGAGTCGGGACATGGCTGGTCCAGAGAACTGCATGACTCGTGATGCAACACCATGAAGTCATCACCATTGGTAGCTAGTGCTGTACCCACTGAACAAACTTAGGTGCCTCACAGTCAACAAGTAGCAGGGCAAAAATATTGTGACAATATTTCCAATAGACATAGCTGCTGTTTTTGTATCATGTGGTGAATGTGAGGGTGAAAGCGTAATCATTCCGGAAAGCGATATGATTGCGCGCCTGCCGTTCTTGCAACGGTGCTCTCTCACTTACTGCACCTTGCAAACGCAATAGTTTCACCACTGTCGCCTGTGGCTATCTTCCTGATGTATCTCTGTCCAAATTTAAAGCGCTTCATCACCTCCCATCTCCATCTCCAAGCACTCGAGTACTCTCTCCGCCTCCGTGACTGATAATTAGATTAGTCGTAGACATGTCAACCGCAGGGACTCCACCCACAGCAGATGCTGGGGCTTCTGACGAAGCTTCACAAAGTGCAGTTGCAAACCCAGCCGCTAATAACACCGCTCAAGATCATCCTGATGGTGCCGATATCCGTCGTCAAGTATGCTTTCCTGCTCCTGCCTCTAATGAGATCTACGGTACACTGACCATCTTCAAGGTAGAATACTACTTCTCTGATGAGAACCTTCCCACAGACAAGCATTTATTGCAATTCTGCGGCGGGCGTGAGAACCTTCCCGTTTCCATCAATCGCATTTGCGGGTTTTCGAGGATGCGACAGTACAAGCCCAAAAGCCTCGTCATTGCAGCACTTCGTCTAAGCACCTTCCTGGAAGTTTCTGCTGATGGCAAAACCATCAAGCGCAAGATCCCTTTGCAGGGAAAATGCCTCCTCGATCCAGACTTCTTCGACGATGAAGACATCGCTTACGACCCGCGCGTTCAGAAGCCGACTCCGCGTCCGGTGCCATTTGTGCAAGTGAAGAAAGAGGCACACTTGGAAGGGGTGTCGAAGAACATGCGAAAGCCAACAGGATTCGAAAGAACCTACGTCGAGCCACTCCTCACCCCCGAGGAGGCCGCACAAGAAGACGACATGTACGCTTCCGACAAGCACTTTGTTGAGCGTATCGAGGTCGCCATCCAGTGCTTCAAGAACAAGCGGCGCATGCGCGAGATGTACGCACACGTCTTTAATAGGTTTATGCGCTTTGGTGGTGTAGATGCCGGCCCGCGCATGTACCAAGGTCTGTCAAAGCAGGAAATGAATGAGATGGACGCTGAAGAGCTCGCCAGAGCACTTGCCACTCATCACATACCATGGGACCGCTCTGACAAGACCCAGTGGGTGGTTGATTTTGCCGGTGTCTGCAAAGGCTTCCTGTAAGTCTACTTTGTCAAACGCCTACAGAAGAATGCTAAAGATAACAGTTCATCCTGGTATCCTGCTCACTATGGCTATGCCCCTCACCTGATTAAAAATGCCTGTCAAGTCCTTCGCTCCTTCTTCAGGTATCTTCGGTTCCATAGAGTCTGCCCTGAGTATGACGATCAGCTCGCTGCTGCACTCGACATCTGTGATACCGCCGAGGAAGAGCTCCCCAAGGCCAATGCTGTAGGCCTTTCCTTGACAGGAGACTTTAACAAGTCTGCCAGTGTCATCTTTGGCGGCGCTCAAGCTTCCCTTTACACAGGTAACAAGAGTTGGGCCGAGGAGTTAAGAGAGGAAGGTGTGAACAATGAAGAGATTGGTATTTCTAAGGAAGAGGCCAAGGCCAAATTTGGCATTGGGATTGCCATCTTGGGTTCGGAAGAGCAATTCGGGCTGTACGAATCGTCCAAGTTGGAGATCATCAGTAAGAAGTCGACCTACCTCGAAGTAGTCACCATCCACCCGCCCGACTGTGACACTAAAGCAGCCTATGATGCGCAGAACACAATCTATGAGCGCAAACTGGAACTTCAACCTCTTGGGAAGCTTATCTGCAAGCAATGGTACCCCACTGGATGCGAGGAGTATGACTTACCGAAGAACAAGTACCCTAACGGCAAGCCCTGGACAACTGATGACAGCCAAGAGTACGAGTTTTGGATCGAAGGGGATATTCTTAGGGATTGCTTCATCGGCATGAAGATGGACGCTGACATTCTGGTGCTATCGGGTGGCCTGAATATTCTGGACAATCTCATGGAAACCATGTGCAGTTTCTACGTGTGGCTGCCGAATGAATTGTGGATGGAGCGAAAGCCGAAGGAGGTGCGGTGGCTGGAGAAGGGCATGGGTCTTGACGAAAACAACGACCAGGACGATGGCAACGACGACAAAGAGGCGAAGCACGTTGCAGACAAAGAACATTCGGATGATGAGTTTGATGATGAGTGAGGTTGAATTGGAGGGTGCGCTACAGAGTTCCGCCGCAGCGGGTGGTGAAACATTAGTTTTTTGAGAAGCCGACGTGGGCCTAATGTCACTTCTTGACTATACACCTACATGCATCTATTTCAGGACTAATTAGTACTATACTGGATGCGATGGCTAGTATGGAAAAGGGAAATAGGTATGGACACTGCACAGCTGGTTTGATCAGATTGTGGCGATATTCTGAGAGATGCAAATAATGAAGATTGATCAAAGAGGTCAGTAAGACCCTGGTTGTTGAGCGTTTTGGCATCGCAAATCTCAAGTGTCCGAAAGTGTCACTAGCAACAAGGACGGTCTGTTGACCTCTTGTCACAAGGATGCACCTTTGCATCGGGGTTTGAGAGCATTACTTTGAGTAGTAGGGCTGCGCCACGCTTGTGCGCCTCAGTTTCATCCCTGCTTGCCGTGTACATGTGCTTCAGCAGCAGAGGGACCGCACTGCGACACGAAAGCCCACGACTGAAACCGGCAAGTCGCGCACGGTATCCACGCTCCCTCGACGCCTCTGGCCAAGAGTTCCGTCTGATGCGTCCACCATGGGCCAAGATGGGTGGGCGCACAAGAAAGCGCGCAAAAGACTGTCTATGGCGTGGCCGGCGCAGAGTCTTTGTCGGCCGCCACGTATGCAAATGACCGCTGAGAGCAGTCCAAGGCGGATGGAAGCACTTGGCAGTTAGCAATGCCATGTCCTGGCCGTCGTTTGCCAAGCGGGCGCTGTGTCTCCAAGCACCAAAGCGCGACATGTGTTTGGTTGCCCACCAGCCCAGCAACATGTCTCGGTATTACACTTGACTTGCTTACCTTGGGGGCCCCCTTTCTGTCCTCATTTTGCACCATTTGCTAGCTCCCGCTCCTTGTGAGGAGAATAAAAGGAAAAACGAGGTCAGTCAGCACTTGGGCCTGTATAGGATGTATGGGGCATGCCATTTACCCGCGACAAGGCAACGCATGTCATCGTCCTCAACTCAACCCCTTAGCTTTCCGGGTGGATGGGAATGAATTCAGACGAAGAAAATCCCATGGCGCGGATCCAAGATTAGACGAGGTGGAAGCCAAGCAAAAGACGTCAGATCCGAGTTATCCGTCTGCGCCCGCCTGCGCCCGTCTCGCATCAAGGACGCGCACAGGGCTGTCCCGGTCACGGCAGTGTGACAAACGACGAGCGGAGGGAAGCTTGGGCACAAGGCCTGCCAAGTGCTTGAGTGCTCTTAGCAAGCAGAGAACGCGTGCACTGGTAAAACCTAAGGGCAGCCCACTACTGCGCTGGTTCCCCGTCTCTGGATTCTTTTGGTGTTCTTCATTCAAATCTCCGCAACGGCATCTTTCATTCCGCTGTTCCTCGTTCTTAGATATAGTATGCGGCCCTTTTGCTGGCTGCCGACCACCTGTTCTAGACGCTAAATAACGCCCTGTTGCTGGCCGAACTTCTCCACATAACCCAGTCAGTCTCCCTTTACGCGACAAACCAAACCCCCCCTCCCTGGAACCCAGGCGTCAAATGCTTCTTGCATGCTGCTTGCACGAGCGACTAGTCCAGGCACAAACTCCGATCCCGTAGGCTGGGCCTGAGAATAAAAAAAACTGTAAAACTTTACTTTCCAACTTCCAGCGAGCGCGCGCGTGTGTGTGGCCTGCGAAATAGGGAAATAGGGCGCGGTGGAGATTTCGTGCTAGGATAATGGGCGCCTTGCTAGATGCGCGGGCAACCGACTTTCCCAAACGGGATCAATTTGGTACGTTAAACCATGGCCCTTCACTACTCAAACGCCACACATCAGACCATTTTCCTACAATCACATCATACCATATTACACTGCATTTTACATTATATCCCGCTTGATATACTAGCGTCACTATTTGCTTTTTTTGGGTTGCAAACACGACAATACCTGGCTAACATGACTAGCAGGCCATAGGATCATTAACCCATACATCTACGACCCGTCGTGCGCGCTTGCTATTGTCGGCACCACCATCATTGTTCTGCTGTCCATCTACTCAGTAACCCAGTACCTGCGGCATCGGTCATGGTTCTTCTGGGCCGCCATCATCGGCGTCCTGATGCTGGACCTCGGCTTCATCTGCCGCACCGTGTCGTCGTACGATGAGGGCAAAGAGTCTCCCTTCCTTGTCTCATGGCTCATGATCCTACTCGCACCCAGCTTCCTCGCTGCAGCGTGCTACATGTCGTTTGGCCGCGTCATCTGGTTCAGCTGCCCGACCGAGGCGCTCAACTTCAAGACGCTGTGGTGCTGGCCTGAATGGATCACCCCGACCTTTGTCGCCTTCGACATGTTTTCTTTCCTCGTCCAGCTCATTGGCGCATCCCAGATTAGCAGGCACTACGATAAAGCCCCCAACGGCGACCGTACTATTAGCATATCCGAGCAAGCCGCGCTGCCCGGTCGTGTCATCCTAATCCTCGGCCTCGTGCTCCAGATGCTGTGCTTTGCCATTTTCTCAGTCGTCTCCATCCGCTACTTCTACATGTCAAGGAAGTGGGCGGCCTACGACCTCGGCGACATGCATCTCTGGCGCAAACTCTCCTACACCATCAATCTCTCCTCCATCCTCATTGCCCTCCGCGCCGTATACCGCACCATGGAGATACCACACGACCGCGACTACGGCATGCGCTACCTGCAGAGCCACGAGTGGTGTTTCTGGACCTTTGATGCTGCACCCATAGTCTGCGTGTTGCTCATCTTTGCCATATGGCACCCCGGCCGATATCTCCCCCGGTCCTATACGGGGCTCAGGCTTGACAAGGTCAGAGCTGTCAAGGAGAAAGATGAGATTTCAATGTATAGTGCGAGTACCTGTGGACAGGACACGGAACTTAAGGAGTACAAGCCCGAAGACTTTCGCCATGTTAGTGTTGCGGCAAAACCTTAGAGTGGAGTTTGAAATTTAAAGTTACATGATGGATATGCAAACGGGCGTTCAAATTATATGATACCAAACGCGTTATGCGAAAGCGGGTTTTTTTAATTTCTTTTTTAATTTTTTTGAGAGTTCATTTGCGATGATACCATAGTTGAATGTTGATTCATGCTTTCTTCCAACTGGCTTTGCTTGTCTTGATGTGATATTGAACTCTCTGGCTTCTGTGTGTCCGTTATCTTCGCCACATGACCTTCGGGTTTCTCAGGTCCGGCTCGGGGCGCTGTCTACCCGTGCAGGTGGGTTAAAGCCTCATCTCGAGCATCTTCCTTGTAGTCGTATCTACCTTGAATTGACTGGACTAGCGTTGGCATCGCATGTTCGACTGAGTTCGCATAACCTTCCCTATAAGACTAAAAGACATATTTGGAAGGTCGCATATAAAAATCTTTCTCAATTCTGCTCATCCTTAGTCTTCATATATCCGGCTGATAGTGGATCCTGAATTTCTTGTTGGCACGGTCCGCCGCTCGTGTTTGGAATTGCTCGGCGTTGATGTCAAAGGTTAGTGGTTTCTTGGGCGGCTCTCCTTCGTTAGACAGGAGTGGCACTTCAAACCGGAAGATGGTGTGTTCCTTGGGTATAGCTGATATCGTTAGATTACTTACCCCACTTACCTATTTGGTGCCTACAGACTTACATTTGATAACGTTGTTCTTGGTTATGAGGTCAAAGGTGAATCGAGTGTCACGTACGACTATGCCTTCTAACCCGACGCGACTCACACACCGGCTCCTCACCACTGTCATCAGCGCGCCATGCATATCGGCAGTCGCTAGTATCTGGCCGCTTGCGTTTGGAGTGATCACGACACCCTTTGACACATCATTCACGCCCAGCACTTCCCTCATGTAGCCTACCCAGAGATTATGTAGTCCCTCGTAGATCGCATATTTTTGCTGCTCCTTTGGAATCTCATTGAGGCCCAGCGCGCGCTTTTTTGCGGCAGAGAGTGGACGAGGCTTATTCTTGCTGCGCTTCCTAGCGACTTCTTTACGTTCATTGAAAGCTTGACGGCGAACAGCGCGCGCTGATGGTGTCGGAGATGTTGCACGAACATACAGAGGGCGCGTGACAGCGCGTTCCCGATAATGCGATTCTGCAGTCGATGGAGAGAAGGCGCGATGAAGCAGGGTTTGGGCAATGTGCGGGTTGGAACTAGCCATTTGCACACGAAATGTTGCAAGTGTGTGTTTTTGCTGGCTTATTGCGAAAGCTGCAGTGGCTTCGCCGATCAATAGGCGGGTTGATTTGCAATGATGCTCGGCAGGGCCTCTCCAGAATATGAGCCAGGACAAATTCAAAATATCGTATACCGTGGAAAACGCAAGCTACACAGCGGAGTCGGACACTTGATTGCGGGACAAATTTGGCGGCGCTCAAGATGACGATGGGGTTCGCAGAGGAAAGATGGCCGCACTAGTGCGAAAGCGTGCTAGGTCTATAGCTCGGCTATCGTTTTTCCGCCCTCACACATTCTCGGCCTTCACACACGTCAAAATCGACCTCAGCTTCGACAACACCGCTAACCCGCAGCAACCGTCAAGATGAAGTACATGTACGTCTACCCCTGGATCCCGACGCACAAATCGCTGCAACACACGGTTTTTTCCACCTCCGAACCGTTCATGGACGCCTCCATATCGAAATTCACGATCGCAAAACACCATATCCCTGGAACTTATGCTGACAAGTGCGCAACAGCCACTCCGAGGAAGAGCTCCCCATCCCTGAGGGCGTCAAGGTCAGCATCAAGAACCGAAATGTCGTTGTTGAGGGTGAGTGCGCAATTGGGCATTGAATTACCAGCATTGTACTAATTACATTGAATAGGTCCCCGAGTAAGCCAAGCGCAACTACACATACTCGACGATCCATTTCTTACACAATGCAGGGCAAGCTGAGCAAGTCTCTCGGTCACTTGGCGGTCAGCTTCACACACGTACGTTTAGGATTCAGGAATTGATATCAATGGGATGTACTAAGTCTAGCACAGCCCAAGAAGGATCTGATTAAGATCGAGCTCCACCACGGCATCCGCAAGAGCGTCGCCACTCTCCGCACCGTCCGCACACTCATCGTACGTCAAACGCACCGAACAAGTCGAACCACCGGCAGAGGAAGGACTGGGCTGACTGGAAGCAGAACAACTTGATCATCGGTGTCACCAAGGGTTACAAGTACAAGATGCGATACGTATATGCCCAGTATGTTACCACCGGAATCTCTTTCTCGCCATCTCGAAACCAACGTCTGGTCCAACGCGGGTTGCCAAATACTTCGTCAGAACCGGTCGAAGCAGGATGATTGTTACTAGTGTATTCGAAGTGTTGGACAACGCAAATTGGACCAGGCTCACGGCGAACGTTGCACACATGGAACTTGGCTAACGTCTCACTCAGTTTTCCCATCAATGTCAACCTTGAGAAGAACAGCGAGTCCGGCTGCTGGGAGGTCGAGATCAGGAACTTCATCGGCGAGAAGCTCGTACGAAGGGTTGTCCTGAGGCCCGGTGTTGAGGTTGAGGCTTCCAAGAACGTCAAGGACCAGCTTGAGCTTTCCGGAAACGTAAGAACAAGTTATTCCGAATTCAGATACAATATGCTAACGAGAACAGTCACTCGAGGACGTCTCCCAGGGTGCCGCTGATATCCAACAAATCTGCAAGGTCCGCAACAAGGATATCCGAAAGTTCTTGGACGGTCTGTACGTGTCGGAGCGCGGCAACATTGCCGAGGACGCGTAAAAGGTTCTGGGGAGTACGGGTTTCTTTACGGGCACATGAGCATCTATGAACTTCTCTGCATCACATCACGTGCGGTTGGCGCCTGGGGGTCTAAGCTCAAAAACGATGTTCAAACAATACCACCAATGACTTGATGGAAGAAGTATGCATTCACGATTTTGGTGATATGATAGGAAGTCAACAATTTCCGTGTTTGTACAAGGGTCGATGCTCGGGACTTACTTCTTTAGTACAGGACGATTGTGGTTGACGGCGAGAGCTTTTGTTAACATACAGAGCCAATGAAAGAACGCTTCCCATGTCCACCAAGTTAGCCTTACCTGCTGTGCATTATACATCTGAAATTGCACAATCATCTTGATGGCACAACCTAAATAGGAAGGACAGTTGGGTATGCATGTTTGATCCCGTCGAGATAACAGCATGAATGTCCGCGGATGTGATGTGCCACTCATGACGTACATGTGCTGTAGCACTACGGCACATCGTGCCAACACCCCGCACTCTTGCTATTCGCAATACTACAAAGTACAGCCACCGGCACAATGATGAGACTATCACCGCAAACTCCGAAGATTGACAGCTCATCAGCCGTAGGATAAGTAAGCATATTGTGAAGGGTGGAAGGGCAAAAGGGCGAATAAATTGGAGCCATTCCCTGCATATATGAACAGGGACTGATTAGTGTTTCGGCATTCGAATACCCATTCTCTCTATCAAAGCTCAAAGCAACACTACCAACCCCTCTAATAATTGAAAGACTCAAACCACTCGACAAATATGCCAGACAAGCTAGATGTGGAGGGTCTCCTCAAGGAGTCCAAGGCCGAGTACAGGCGTCTAGGGAAAAGTGGACTCAAGGTGTCTGTGCCTATTCTGGGTGCTATGAGCATTGGAAGCTCCAAATGGCAGCCATGGATCATTGAGGAAGCAGAGGCGCTTCCGCTACTGAAGGCTGCTTACGATCGAGGTCTCACCACTTGGGATACTGGTGAGGACAAGAAATGATGGGGAGTCTTGTAATGCTTGCTAATGTTGTCAAAGCCAATGTCTACTCAAACGGAGTTTCTGAAGAAATCATCGGCAAGGCCATCAAGCAGTACGAACTCCCTCGTGAGAAGCTCGTCATTCTCACAAAGTGCTTTGGGGTTGTAGGCGAAGACCCCGGTCTTCGCACTATACAATACAGCAAGGAAATGCCACAGCTGAAAGACTATGTTAACCAAAGTGGACTTTCGCGTCAAGCAATCTTCAACGCCGTCAATGCTTCGCTCAGGCGGCTTGACCTGGACTACATCGACCTTTTGCAAATTCATCGTTTTGATCCCAACACGCCCCTCGAGGAGACTATGGAAGCACTTCATGACTTGGTAAAGAGTGGCAAGGTGCGGTACCTTGGTGCCAGCTCAATGTGGGCGGTACAGTTCGCCCAGATGCAGTTTGTGGCTGAGAAGAACGGATGGACAAAGTTCATCAGCATGCAAAACCATTACAACCTGCTCTACCGCGAAGAAGAGCGTGAGATGAACCGTTTCTGCAACGACACGGGAGTTGGTCTTATTCCGGTACGTGCTGCGTTTTGCTGCATAGCTGTCAGATATCGCTAACATGGCTTTCTAGTGGGCACCTCTTTGCCGTGGCCATCTTGCTCGTCCTCCATCAGCCTTTGGGTCGACGACGCGCTCAGAAGGCGAGCAAAAAGCCGGTAATCAGACGTCAGGTAACACGGATCTCGATAAGAAGATCATCGGACGTGTCGAGGAGCTTGCTAAAAAGCACGACTGGAAGATGAGCCATGTTGCGCTGGCGTGGATCAACAAGCGCGTTGCAAGCCCGATCATTGGCTTCTCTAGTGTAGAAAGGATGGACGAAGCGCTGGCCGCGCGAGGCAAGGAATTGAGCGAGGAAGAGGAGAAGTATCTCGAGGAACTGTATGAGCCTGTGCGTATCGTAGGACACTCGTAGGTTGGTGGCACGACTGTGGGACATTTTGAATCGAACTCACAGCATAGTGTAATGACATGTTGATTGTGCACCTCGGCGTAGACTACAGTGGCTTGCATCGACTTAAGTGGATCAATCAGAGCACTCGGTCCGTATTAGGGCCCGGAGCTGAGATGATGCGTGTCGATGCGGGCTTTGTCAACCCATGGCACGACCAATGACGTCGGTCGCGTGATGCATCTCACCACCGTACCTGAGCATGCCGCGCGCATCAAACAGCCGCAACACAGCAAAGCATCAGGAGACAAAGCAAGTCGTATTGATTTGTGTACTTACTCTTGAGGCTCAATTGCTTAGCTTCCGCGTTGCCTCTGGTGGCACGCCATGAAGGCCATGATGGCTGGGCCACGCACGCTCACACCAATGGTGGTGGTTCCTTCCCCGCATTCTGGGCGATGCTCGCCCTTCCCCGCATTGGCCCGACCATTCACATCTCAATCCGATTGGATTGGGGCCCTGATGTGGTGATCAATCAAGTGACCGTCGCCTGTGCCTTCCTGCCGGCTACAGATTGGAAACCCCTCATAAAGCTGCGCCCTTCCCTTCGTTCTCTTCTCCCTCACTCTTCCTCTCTCACACCCCGACAGCCCCTGCCAGTCAGCCTCTATCCAGCTTCACAGAGCTCTCTTTGATCACTCCTCATCATCTACTCTCTTTCCATAGCTTCCGCTAGCCCCAGCTTACACCTGCAATACCACTACCATGGCCGCAGAGACAGAAAACATCCTCCAGAAGGTCGACTCTCTCACCGAGGAGCACAAGGATGGCGCCGCCAAGAAGGGCCACCGCAGAGTCAGCTCCATGGCCGCTGACGTCTACCGCATTGAAGACCTAGGTATGTGCTCCGCTGATAGGACTACGATGCGGGGGTGTTGAGTGAGGGGCAAGTTGTGCTGACCTGGCCACAGAGAAGGAGGGCAAGCACATTGACATCTCAATTGAGACACAGAAGCTTAACTGGTGAGACAACCTTTCCCTATCGCTCTCGAGGAGCTGTTCGGCACTGTTGTCGACTGGTCCGCCATGGTCCGGATAGCTTTGGCCGGCTTTCTTTGTTTGAACCCGCGCTAACAGATGGCTCTCCAGGAAGCTGAACAAGTCACCCAGCACTGTCGAGGATCCATCAGTACTGAAGCTGCCACTCACCGAGCCCAAGCTCAAGTCTATTACCCTACACTTCCCGCTTGGCCTAGAGGTCGTCGCACGGAACATGAAGGGTGTCACCATCAAGGACGCATTAGATGCCATCCACAAACAGTTCAAGAAGCGCGTAAGTACACACATTCTGTTGCCGCCATGACGATCAAGTCTGCTTTGATGATAGTGTCATCACCTATGTTTCTTTTTTGAGTATAGCTGACCCCTCCTTCAGGCAGATGACGAGTTCGAGAAGCCCTACCTTATGGGATTTGAGTGGGACCCATCAGAGTGCTACACGCGCTTCATCGTGCACCAGTCAGCCAACCCTACCGCGCCCAACACCTTCGCTTCTGGTGGAAAGAAGAAGAAGGCCAAGAAGGCCGAGGGCGAGGAGGGCTCCTAAGTGAATGACTCGCCCCCTTCCCAATCTTCGACTTTTACACACAGCCTCAGTCATACTACCATGCTTGGGCATCGGTTGGTGCGGGGTATGGACATGTGCATTTGGGTGCTGGTCAATCTTGATATCGATATGGGAAGAGCGAGTGCATCTACCACGATGCCGTGGCCTCTATACTATACACCTGGGTAGCCAGGGAGTTTAGCGGGTGCGGCTGTCGTCGGGAGCAATGCGTCGTGGAACCGTTCGCAAGGTGTGTGCCCGATGGAAGGGTAGCACCGTATTATGTAGGCCTTCGGGCATGTTTTCGGGCTGCTGGAAAGCGCCTGAAGCAATGGGAAGAGGTTAATACGGTACTTTTGCGTGTAATTGTTGTTGTGATGTCGTCGATAGCTCTTGACGCCGACTGGGCCAAGAGATCCACTGCGGGCAGGCGGTCCACGCGGTAAGCGAAGGGCACGATGCGAGCGTCGGCGGCCTGAATTGCCCTCCAAATGCCTGATCTGCCCCTCCAGCCCATCTCAGCTAGTCACATGCACAAAGATTACTACGGAAACCTACAATGGTCGCTTTTCCCACCTCGAATCAGGTAGCTCGCCGCCGCCTTGCATTGGTAGCGCCATCACAAGCCCTTGTGTTTCACTTCCTTTAGACTGTTGTCGTCCGACACCGTATTTTGCCCATCACTGACTTTGCTTTTCTTCTGCCTCTCCCCGCCCCCTTGTATTCAACGCTCAGCTTGAATGAGTGCGCCATTTCCTACATCTCGACCCACAATGTGCACCAGATAGCCCAGAATAGCTACACCCTTATCAGCCTCCATACTACTACTGTGCCATTTATCACTCATACTGAACATCTCTTTTACGGCATTGTATGCCCACGCCCTTTTCTAAATCAACAACAACAACAATGTTTTCCAACCTTCAAATCCGGCCCGCCAAACCCGAACGTCGGAAGCCTAATTTAACTATCCGAGCGGGCATCTCAAAGCGCCGAGTGTCATACGTTTCCGCCTTGAGCGCGAGCAGGGTGCCGTCGCTGAGCTTCATGGAGGGATTGTTTGGCGACGAATTTCCGGAAGCTTTTGGTAGCGGTGAAGGAACATCGGCAAAGAGCCGGAAAACTATTTTGGACCTACCAGCTGAGCTGCTTGATTTGGTGTGCGCACACATCTCAAAACCAGACATCAAGCACCTGCGACTTGCTAGTAAGCAGCTAGCTAACAGCGTCTACCTTCGCATCGACCGCGTCTACGTTTCGCCAAATCGAGCCAATATCGACTATCTCTACCAGATCTTGTCTCATCCTAGGTATAAGTATCGTGTCCACGAGATTGTCTGGGATGATACACGCCTTGAAGAGTACTCAACGCTAAGCAGCTTCCGTGATGCAATCCTGTTTGATGAAAGAGAGTTTACGAGATCGATTGAGAGTCGACTAGAAGAAGCCATATGGATCTACGGTGATGACAATCCTGAATATCATGCGCTCGAGCACGACGATCTTTTCGAGAGCAATGGGCGGCTGACTGAGGTTGCGAAAGAAATCCTCTTACGGTACGATGATCAATTCTCAAGAGAGGTTCTTGCTCGAAATGCAACCATGATGGACATTGAAGATAGCTACTCTCTGTACCAAGATCTGTATCGGGAGGAACAAGCGATCATGGACCAAGAAGCAGATATCAATGCACTCGAGCAAGCCTTGATGGGGTTTACAGCGCTCAATAGAGTCACATATACAACCGAAATCTGGCGCTCGTGTGCCTTTCCTCACCTATACAACACGCCATTTCATCGATCGCTACCCGTGGGATTTCGCAAACCACAAATCAGAAATGTGTGTCGTGCGCATTTTCGCCCAAGCGAAGCCCATGACAGTCCTATGAGGACGACTGTCCGTAGCAGTCGAACATCAAGGTACTCTGGGGGTTATTCCCACTTGGTCTCTGCTATACTCGACATGCCAAATCCAGGCATTGAGGAATTTGTTGTCGAAACGGAAAACGAGGCCATGATTCCCTACAAAGACGAGTTTTCTCTAAACAGAAGGGACATTGATAACACCAGAAACATGTTTCGAAAAATCGCACTGAAATATCTCAAGTTTCCTATTACTTATGAAGAGGATACACGAGCAGATTCGACTCCTCACAATATTTACAACCCCCAGAATTTCCTCGCAGAACTTCAACATCTTGAGCATCTAGATTTGAACTTGAGCTGCAATATGATAGCACCCATGTTCGGCTATGTACCGCGCTTCATTCCCATTCCTGAGAACTTGAGACGACAGCTCAAGACCTTGACCCTGCGGCACGTAGTTGCGGAAGACGACGGTCTATTTGGCCTCGTTACCTCAATGCCAAACTTACAGCACGTCACACTGTACCGACTATACCAAGGGAACGAACGACCCGGTTGGGCTTCGCTCTTCCAGCGCCTAAAGACATATTACAGCACCACAGACCACCCAATTAAGCCCAGTTTTGTCATTTTTCAGCCACTTGACCCCGACACGATCAATTTGCAACTCGTGGACCAAGAAGTAGACAATTACTTATATGGCAATGGCGAGAATCCTTTTATGGAAACCGGAGTCCAGACGCTTGCTCGGCTAAAGCAGCATATGGGGTGGAGAGTTGATCCGAGAGATGAGACTGTGAGGGAGACGATGAGTGATTTTTGTGCAAGGACGGAAATGCACGAGTGGGATTGTAGCACGTAGATGGGCATGATGGACGCTTGGGAAATGAGAGGACCGGAAGCTTCAGAACGGACGGAGTTCGAGATTGCAGCTATTGTACTCGGACGTTTCCTCAATCTCAAAAATGAAATACGCACCAAGAGATATGGGAGTTTCGTCGCCTTGGTCTTTCGCTTGTGCGTCAAAAAAGAATACCAAAGAGAGGGAATGGAGCACTTCAGTTGGGAAAAAGAGAGACGGGTCCTACGACTACAAGAACGTTTCTATGCGCACTGAATGATAGCTGTGGCCGTGCCGGGAGCACTTGCGTGTACCCACGCAATTTTCACTGAGCGGAGAAGAAACACCAAGATGTCTCGAAGGGCTGGGAAGGAGATATGGTAAGCAAACAGTAAGAAGAACCTGACCGAACGGTGGGGTTGAGCTGAAGTGGAGATTGATTTTCTCAAACAGTGATTACGAGCGATATTGGGTAGGCGTTTCAGTCGGGATTGGCAACGCAGATGCAGTTATCTCGCTAGCTATCTTCCAACGAATATTAGAGAAAGTCAACCCCATTTCAAATGCAAATAGGTAGTTATTTTTTTTTTTCAAATCCTTTATTTCAAAAACAACCCACAAAAGAAAAACGATCATCAAAACACTCCACAATGCGCTCTCTTCGCCCCAAAACATTCTCAATCCCTCCTCCTAACTAACCCACCAAGCCCTCCACCGGCTCCGGCCAACTCCCCAAAATCAACGCACTCGCCGGTGTCTGGCCCGGCAACGGACTCAACAACTTGACCTTCTTCTTGCTCTCATCCACATCCGCCACATAAACATAGCCCCTAACACTACTGTCCCTAATCACCGCATGCGCCTCATTCGGACTCGCCGTCGTAATCGCCAGAAGCTGATTCACCATACCCTCCGCCGGCACTGCTTTCTCAAACAGCACACCAGAAGGGACAAGAGGCATGCCGTAGTCGTCTACTGGTGCTTCGATGCCATTCGCCTCGTCGGCGCTGCCACCGCCAACAACGCGGAAAATATGCAAATCAGCAGCGTCAGCGGTCTGGCTGCTAGGCGCAAGCGTCTCGTCGCCGTGGCCGAAGAAGTACTCTTTGATCTGGGCGTGGCGCAGAGCGCGCATGTAGGTTTCGGAGCGGTCGACGCAGCCGCCGGATTTGTCGAGGCGGATTACGCTGACGGATTCGGACGGGTCGGTTGTGCGGGATGAGAATTTGCGCAAGAGGTCCGAGTAGAGGCGTTCGGAGCCGAGGGTTATGACGACGTTGACTGTTGGATGGAGAAAGAGGGTGTGGGTTAGTTATTGGATCGAGGAAGTTTGTGGGGCGGTACCTGGGTGTGTGTATGTGGATGGATATGCGTGTATTATGTGTATGTAGAGTCGCAGAGTCGCGGTAAGTTGTGACAATGCGCTGGCTGGACAAGAAAAAAAACAAGGATATATCAAGACATCACACGCACCAGAAAACTCAGAAACAATATGCTCTATGTTGTCGTAGACGCCATTCTTTCCATGGCTGATTGCGCCCGAGCTATCGATGATGAAGCCAGCCTGCTTGCTCAGCTTGTCCTCTTCAAGTCTACTAGTAACAGCAAGAGCCATGCGTGTGACCAACGGCTTGAATACCCTGCCTTCTTCGGGATCTCTCAGCCCGTAGTGATATACCAGCGGCATCTTCACAGGGATAGGGCTGGGTCCCGAGATGGGGCTGCTGCCCCAGCCCTCTTCGATGTCTACTATTGACGAGAATGCGGCTGCGGAGAAGGATCCAGGCACGCTGAGCATGCCCTGGCGCGGATCGAGATTCACCACCATTGGCTGTCTATCCGTCTTGACGGCGTAGGACGTCAGGGTCTTGACAAGAGATGTTTTGCCAGAGTTCTCGGGCCCCACGACTAATACTCTTGGACCCATCTCTACGCTCCCACTAGCGATGCTCTTGTCGCGCAGGTTCTCTAGTGCGAAGTGTAAGTTTGCAACGCTCATCATGGGTGTTTCTTCGGCAATGTAATCCGACTCTACCTCTCCGCCGATATCGAGCTTGCAGCCGTGCCATGTAAAAATGGCACCTTTTGTGCCTGAGAAAGAATACGTGGTCGAGGGTGCGAGTTCAGTACCGAAGAACTCGGCTGTGCCCGATTGCAATTTGACTGTGAGGGTGCGGGAGAAGGAGACTTCGAAGCGGTACTCGGTGTTCGCCGCGAGCTCTTGGGTCCGTGTAGCTACCGACGTCGATGCATTTTGTGGTTCGACGGGCTGTGAGGATAGGTTGAGACCTGGTAAAGAAATCATGTTGGTTGTGTGTACTGAGCGCGATCAATCAAGACGTTATTTCAAGGGTAGATGGCTGGCGTTGTATGCGCTTGGCTCGACTCGACTCGACTCGACTGGCGCAGGGGAAAAAGGAGATCGGACTCGAATCGCTAGGGACACATTAGTTTCTGTAGAGTTAGCATGGGCCTGGAAGAGAATTCTGCAAATGTAATGGTGAGCTTGTGTATTTGAGAGGAAAGGAAGAGCATGGTGTAGTTCGCATCCCACACGACATTCGAGCTGCAGCACGGGCCCTGCGGACTTGACGGCTGCTGATTGGCGGAGGTGTTGGCGTGCTCCGCGTCTGACAGCCACCTTGTGAGCTCAACATGGACAATCTCAAACGTCGATTGAAGCTTGTTCACCTATCTTACACTCAGTACCCTTGGGATACTTTGTGTGTTGGCCAAGACATGCCGATTAACCTTACCTAAATACACCCCTTGTTCTTCATCCATTTATCCATTCCTCGCTGTCCACTATCGTCGTGTAACACCACTTCTGCCGGACATTGCTGTACCTGCATCTCCAGCATCATGAAGTCACATTTAGCCGCGCTATCTCTGGGATCCTTTCTCACCCTCCAACCCGTGTCGGCAGGATTCAATAACATCCACGACCAAGAGCCTCTGAGAGCCGATATCGACCCACTCAAGTACCGCGCAGCATGTCCGGACTACGCAAACTATGCCAAGCGACCACAGTATGCAGAGCATTGTGTTGAGGATGACATGTGCTAATGAATATGCCAGTCCACCATACAGCTCTGGTCCCCTGTCACTGCCCTTTCAACGGCCCTTCAAGTACTGTCGAACGTTTGAATCGCCTCTTGTAGAAAAGGTCATTGATGATATGAGCGAGAAGATGGTTGATAAAGACCTCGCTCGTCTCTTCGAAAATGCTTTTCCGAATACACTAGATACAACTGTGAGATGGCATGTAGACGGGACATCAAAGCCCAAGATGTCGAAGAAGAGCTGGGATCCCGCCGCTTGGAAAGGAGCACAGAGTTTCATCGTCACTGGTGACATCAATGCCGAATGGCTACGTGACTCGACGAACCAGCTAGCACAATACCAGCTCCTCGCGAAAAAGGACAAGGACATCCATCAACTCATCCTAGGAGCCATCAACACCCAGGCCGAATACGTCATCGGATCCCCATACTGCAACGCATTCCAGCCGCCCCCACCAAGTGGACTAAAACCCACATTCCAAGGCGACGGCGACAATGTCCACCCAATCTACGAGCAATCTTTCGTTTTCGAATGCAAATATGAGCTCGACTCCCTCGCGCACTTCCTCTCCCTCTCCAACCAATTCCACAACCACACATCTTCGACCGAATTCATCAACGCCCGCTGGCTCCTCGCCCTCGACACCCTCCTCGATGTGCTAAAAGAGCAGTCCAAACCCACTTTTGACGAAACCACAGGCACTTATCTCGGCAACGAATACAGATGGCAGCGCCACACCGACAGCGGCACAGAAACTCTCGGCCTCAGCGGCCTGGGCAACCCCCTCAACGGCGGCACAGGCCTCGTCCGCAGCGCCTTCCGCCCCAGCGATGACGCTACCATCCTCGGCTTCCTCATCCCGTCCAACGCCATGATGGCGACGGAGCTCCAGCGCACAGCACGCATCCTGGAGAAAGCAGGTAAAAAGAACATCGCTGCCAAACTCAAGGAGTGGGGCGACAAGATCGAAAAGGGCGTCTGGGAACATGGCGTTGTGACGAATAAGAAGTACGGCAAGGTCTTCGCGTTCGAGGTAGATGGGTATGGCTCGTCTATTCTCATGGATGATGCGAATCTCCCTTCCCTACTTGCACTTCCTCTTCTCGGTTTCGTAGATGCGAATAACGAGGTTTATAAGAATACGCGCAAGATGATTTTGGACAAGAAGGGCAATCCGTATTATCTTGTTGGCTCGTCGTTTAATGGTATTGGCGGGCCGCATGTTGGGCTACGGTCTGCTTGGCCCATGGCTGTCCTTGTACAGGCTATGACGAGCGAGGATGATGAGGAGATTACAAAGTGTCTTGAGTCTGTTAAGAACGTGTCCAAGTTGGGGTTGGTGCATGAGAGTATTAATGTGGATCATGCATCGTCGTTTACACGGAGTTGGTTTGCGTGGGCGAATTCGGTTTTTGCGCAGACCATCTTGGATTTGGCGCAGAGGAAGCCGCATTTGCTCTTTGGTAAGGGGGCTGAAGCGTACACCTTGTAAAGAGCTAGGGTTGTTTTGGGATACGGATATATGCACAGTATGTATCACAGTGATCTGATATTGTGCTGTCAGAGACACTCTCTTTTTCCTCTCCTTGGGCAGACGACTTGGCAGATAGAAAGGTGTCGAATGCAACTGTCGAGGTGTAGAATTGCAAGCAGGTCATTATAGCTATTCATGTCTATATGGCCGTGCCTATAAAAACCCCTCACTATGAGGTGCGATGCGAATATGCTGAAACATATACATCTGAACACGGCTCCTTCTACCAACCATCACCTCCCATGGAACCAGAAGAACACCACCCCCTTCTACCGTGCAAGCCACCTTCCCACCCCATCCGTCCTTTTCTTCCTTCCTTCCTCTATGAATATGACTAAAGAAAATTGGAGAGAAAAACAAAAATACAAGCATCCCCGCGTACCCAAGTACAACTCATCCAGGGAAAAGGGTATAGTGTGCCGAAAAGGACAGAGTTGAACAGCTGATCAAATTAAGACACAACAAACAAGAAATAGAGAGGTATTAATGGCAATGAACAGAATTGCTAAAAGGGGTATTCGTCCGATCGTTCCCAAGGAAATGTAGGCAAGGAAAGAAGATAAAAATATGCAAGGAAAAAAAATGCGATTGCGCGCTCGCTCGCTTCTGTAGTAGAATAAAAATGTTTAGACCGTGTCAAAAGTCATTCGGATGTTTGAATCGACACAGGGGTTCCCGTGCCTATGTGGTGTGTATGGCATGTCTGGACCTAATTAGTGAAGCTTACTTGTGTCTTCAGCTTTTCGGTTGTCCGTCTCCTTGAGACGGTACGCTGCTCGCTCGAATATCGTGTGGCGTTGTTCCAGTCTTCCCAATCGCTCGCCATCTCCGTGAGCACATTGCCCATGACCTGCGCGCTGGCCATGAGTCCGTGCTGCTCGCCTTCCAAGATGCGGACCTCGCATTTGCGCATTAGCTTGCCTAGCCATCGCACATTGTCGACAGGTACGCGTGAGTCCTTGGATCCATGGTGAATGACCACTGGGCGATTAATGTCTTCGTATCGGAAGCCAATGCTTTGCTTGGTTTCCAGACAAACGATGAGATCGGTGGCAGGATTGGCGTTCGCCGTTGCACGGTCCCAGATTGCAAAAGTAAGACGCTCGTCAAAAGCATGCTGCCGCTCGCGTTCAGCGATACTGAGCATTTCTTGCATGCGCTGCACCTCTTCGTCATTCTGACATGGCGAATTCGCTAGAGTCAAGGTACTCGCATTCGGCAAGACCTGGTCCATGACCATCATGGAGTGTCGGTGCATATCTTTTAGTGGTGGTCTTACGGCAGCCTGGCTTGGCGCTGGCGAAGGTGCGATGCTTTTCCGCCTTGTCTTAGGCGCAGTCTTGGGTCCGGTGCGTTGGAGACTGGCACTTGTTGCACTGAGAAAAGTCGAGTTTGCTACCTTGAGAAGCGATGGAGGTAGGGCGCGGAGGAAGCGTTGTGATCTCGGAAGTTGCTGTGTTGGTGGGCTGTCCTGGCTAATACCAATAGGCGCCATTTGCGATGGAGGTATCCAAGGCGCAAGCAAGTGCACTTTGCCTCGAATGTGTTGTGGCATTCGCAGCGATGTTGCAAGAGCGTAGACGGCTCCCGCCGAATGTGCTAGGATGGAGAACTTGTTGATCTTCAAGGCCTGACATATTATGAGAACGTCATCTAGGTCAACGTTAGTACGCGGTGAAAGGAAGTGGCAGCTGACTTGTCGACTTACCAGGCCAACTAAGGGGGGTCCCATTCGGATCAACTTGACTTGCTCCAATACCAGGGCGGTCCGGCGTAATCAGTCGCAGCTTTAGTGTAGCAGCGAGCTGATCGTAAAAGGCCATTACATATCTCGTAAGGCCCATGCCAACACAGACAAAGACGGCGAAGCCTTGGGGATCACCAACTTCGGAAAATGATATAATCCTGCCAGTTTGCGGATGCCGGATCTTTTGCGACAAGCGCTCTGAATCCAGGTATTGATTCACATCCAGATCAATGGAGTCGCGGCTTGCAGGTCGCTCTTCAATTATCGGCTGTGGTGGAGTTTGCACGGCCGCCGCTCGTGCAATCTCTTCTTTTCGTTCTACTCTGTCGTTATGCGCTTTCTCTGCTTTGGCTGGCAAGTCGGGGTGAGACCATCTCTTCTTGGCGCCCGTGCGCTTGCGATGGAGCTGTGCGCTATGGGAATCCGGCATGGGCGATATAAGCATTGAGCGGTGGCGGGTGATGGGCTCTTCGCTGACCGCCCGTGAAGGCAGAGCCAGTCTGGAACTTGATTCGTCAGTGACACTAGAAGAGTGCTTGTGTCCGGAAGGTTTGGTAACGATGACGGCAGTGGTTGCCGCTCGCCGCGCGACTGCGGACCTCCCTCCGACAATGAGCGAGTTAGATCGTTTGAGTGCAGAAGAGTCGCAGCTTGTCATTGTGGATTTGGAAGCGATGCTCGGGGGAGCAGGCGGTTTTGATGGCCGTGTGTTTGGAGCAAACATTGGGGAGAGTTGGCCGAGGCTTTCGAGGGCAAGTGTGTAGTCGATGGGGAGCTGGTTCACACCATCGCTATCGTTTAGCGTTAGACTCCGGGGTCTAGGCCGCATGCTTCGTGCTCGATTCGGCGCTGAAGGATCGTGCCTATCCGCATATTCTCTATCAACAGGCCTATCTGCTGAATCCTGTAAGATACCGAGGACCTTGTGTGCCTTTGTGGGATCGCTAATTCTTCTTCCATCATCTGACACACTTGACACAGTTGTAGTGGGGGAGCACATAGGAGTTGGGGTAGATGAAACACAAGGCAATCTGGATGGTGTTGCCCCTGCATCCATTTCTGACGGCAAAACTCCGGCCAATTTCTCCCTCTGCATTTTGCGCTCTCGCAGCTGTCGAATCCTTCGAGCAACTTCATTTTCTTCTTGTTCCAGCTCGTCGAGAATCTTTTTCTGTTTTTGCGCCTCTGTGTCCAATTTCTCTTCTGATGCCATTTTCTTGGATGGTTCGGCTGCGTGCTCGGCTTTACTACTGGACTTGTGTCGGCTCTTTTCTTCGGAGCGATGCTTCCTGGATTTGCGTGTCGGACTAGCTGTGTGCCTCAAGGATGAGCCACGTTCGGGGATCAGGCCTTTCTCCGCTGGACTCTCGCCGTATGGACCATCTACTAGATTTAAGCGAACTCGGCGCGTGCTTGGGTATCGCGGGACAAAGCGAGAGCGGTCGTCGTCAAGGTCGTCGAGGTCGAGTTCGTCTTTTGCAGATAAAGGCTCTTCCTTGATCGTGTCTTCGTAGGGGAAAAGATGGGTCGTATTCTTCCTTGGGGAGTCGGTAGTTGAGACGTCGTCAAAGCCGTGCACAGTTGCGCGTTTTCGTTCAGTTTCCTTTTGCCGCAGTCGCTCGCGCGAGCTCATGTACATCAAGCTCTTGTGGGCCTTGACGCTGCGCTTGCTCTCGACAGAGGATCTGTTGCTGCTGATGGAAACCTGGCGCGTCGGCCCCGCCTCAATGCTAATGTTGCCAAAACTGCTTGCGGAGCGGTTCGAGTGTATGGACTGGAGGGAGCAGGAGCTGCTGCCGCTCCGGGCGAGGTAGTTGCTGAGCGAGTGCGGTTTGCTGGCCTTCTTGGGCGCGGTCAGGGGCGACTTGCCCGAGGGGGGCTTGGAGGTGCGGACAACGGGGGGCTCGCATGCGTCGTCTGGGTCAATGTGGTTCTGGCTTCTTAGTGAGTCGTGGTAGGAAGCGTGGTCGGCCGAAGCGCCATCATATCCCGTGGCGATGGAGGTCTTGTCCGAGTGCGAGTGGGCGCGCAGGCTAGGGGTAGCAGAGGGGGCAGGGGCGCTGTCGTAGCCCACGAGCAGGTTCTCGAAGTGGTTGTTGGCGGGGATAGAAATGGCGGACAGCTGGTCGATGAGCGAGGAGATGATCTGGGGCGAGGTGGCAGCGTTGCGAATGTAGTGCGAGGAGCGCTGTGCAGGGCGGGGGTCGGATGTCTTGATGGACAGCGGAAGGGAGTTGCGCCGTCGCGACCTTAAAGTCTGGTTCGCTGCTTCATTGGCGGCGGGCGAACGCAGCGCGTCGTGTGCGTCCATAGCGGCTGCGTGCAGGTGATACTGGATCGGACCCAAACGGCTATGGTTTTGTCAAGACAAGTCAAGTCTAAAGTAGAAAAGACCACACGATGGGCACAACTTTTCACATGGAGCCAACTGCAGGTGAGGGCGATCAGTGCATGATCGGCATGCAAAGGGTCCGGGGCGCGTTGCTGCGCTGGTGCTGGTGCTGCTGTACAAGTACTTGGACACGCGCTGCCACCGCCAACTACGTGGATGGCAAAGGATGCCCTCGCTGGGAAGAGGCTGCAAGAGTCAATACTTAGGTCCAGAGGGGGAGAGGAGACGGCGTGCGATGTTAAATTACACATGAGCGCCCCGAGGCGAATAAGACGTGCCCACGGTCCTCTAAGCCCTCAGGGTGTCTTCACCGTCGCCCCAAGGGTACGATGGCAGAGGCCATGCGCTAGTCCACTTTGGGAGATTGGCGAACCTTACCTCCTCCTCCCCCTCCCCCTCCTTCTCCTTCTCCTATGTCCTGGACTCGCACCCCCCCCCCCCGCCAACGTCTGCCTCTTGGGCCTGACCCCGTCTCATGTCGTGAAATGCACACAAACACGCCTAATTGACCTGTTCCTCGTCTCCCGTATGCCTCACCGCGCCTCAGGGGACATTGCACTGCTCGACTCTTCATCTGCCGTCATTCAAGCACGCGTCACCCCTGAACTCGTGTTTTTCACGCCTAACACCTAGGACCCCGCCAAATATTGGTTTCTTCAGGGCCCCTGGCGCCCCTCTTCGCCGTAGATACACGTTTCTTCTGCTCCTATCCGTCTTCTTCATAAAAATGTGCTCCCCGATGCTGCCTGCCATAATCCACCACGTATGCCAAGCAAACTGCCGACCGGAGGATTAAAAGCACATACCATGTTACTGCCTCCTAGGACCGGGAGCAGCCGAAAATTATCCCAGGCTATCCTTTCCATGCGCGCAATGCCATGTACGATCAGCACCCCTTGCTTTGTCATACGTATATCGGACCAAGAACAAAAGGCGGAGATTACCGGGTAGGAAGGCAGCGTCGCATCCAAATGCATTGTTTGATTGTGATCCAAGGTCAACACGACGACTACACACATATAGCCCAGGCATTATCAGTATTGGCCAGGCATCATGAGAAGGGCGAAGATGGTGCCCAACTTGGAGATAACAACAGCAACAAGGCACAAACAGGAAGATAAAGCAAAAAAAAAATTCGATCCAGTTCTAATTGTAATCACTCAAGCAAGCCGTTTCATCGGCCTGTTTCGCCCTCCGCTTAACAAAGCTCGCCCTAGGAAACTCTATTTAATCTCCGTACTCGATTCATGGACCAGATCGCGGCTACTACTTCGTTGCTCCCCCTCAAAACACTGTCCCTTCTCCATCATAGCCGCACCGCCTGGTACCCTGTCCCCTTCCGCCGTTTCTTTCCCCGCGTCTCCACTCCCCAGTCCCTCTCCACTAACAGCCAGCGCATCTCTCTTCCTCCTCTGCCTTACCCTCCATCTTTTGTGTAGACATGCTGCAAGTATACTGAGACCGATGGGTAAAATAGCCAACAAGGCTCCAACCATGACGAACGTGGGTGCCCGATCTTTGATCATGATCGATCGCTGTCGATGTGTGCGTGGGGGCCCAAAGGCTCAGCCTGAATGACTCGTATACCAGAGTAAGCTTTTCGTATCTGACGATCTTCTTCAAAGGCGTGGTAGGGCAGAAAGCGTGTAATGAAGGCCTAACTGGTCGGACTCCAATCTCCGAAGGCGTAAGCTAAAGGACTTTTTCTTTGTTTTTTGTTCGGACGCGGAAGTAAGATGGTGATGGCGTATGTATCGTGTAATCGTTAGAAAGATCGGAGATGGAGGGGGAGCTGACCTTGCAATATACTAACATCGGCCATGGCCGTGTGTGCATTTTGTCTGGTTCAACTAAAAGTACCACCTGACGACGCAACTTTTTCTTTCTTTTCATCTTTGCTTTCTCTTTCCCCGAGTTACTTTTTTCTTCTAGCCTCCGTCCTATATACACTTACACATGCCAATTGTGACAGTGGCATGTACATGTCTGTTGAACTAATATGGCAACATGGCAAATCAACATTCGCACTACCCTCCTTCCCCAAAGAGATGTTTTAAAAAAAAAGGAATGAGGACGAAATATGCTAAGCCAGCAGTACGTGTTGTGCCCAACCAAACCCTCGAAACACGTGCCCAACACACACCAAAGCAAAAGGAAAAGGAAAGGTAAAAGGACCATGGGAAACAGCAACACTGATTCCTTCCCTCTCTACAACCCACCACAATCTCCAACTCCCTCTCTCTCATATTCCCATAGCCATCACGAAATATTACCCCCCCCCCAAAAAAAAAACCACCAAATCACCACCACATTTCCTCCCTCAACGGTCCCAAGCCCCAACATTAAGTTAAAAAAAGCGCCCACTGTGCGAAAAAAAAAAGAATGTTCCCACCCCCCCGAAAGAAAATCAGCAACAAAACCTGAAAAAAGAAATAAAAAACAATTTACCGAGCACTACTAATCCCCTTCGTCGTCACCACAGGGTTCCACGCACATGCACAGGGACGCTGATACCAACACACTTGCTAGCGCGGAAGCAGCCGGTCGCACCAGCTGTCGGAAGCGGCAGGAGTAGCCGTAGCCGTAGTGAGAAAGTAGGAAGCGTGGGGGGGGGGATGGCCATTATTTACCTGGGTATACCTTGGAGGAAGAAATGAGAGGGAGAGGCTTTGTTTCGGTACGTTCATGTGCTGGCTTGCTGTTCTTGTCAGTGGATCTTTTGGATCTTTTGGAAAGAAAAAAATTGACTTGATGGTTGATAGGCATGCTAGTCGAATTCATGTCTGAAGTTCATGGTTAGAATATAGTGTTGCTGTGGGTGTACGAATATATTGGTGAGGAAGAGAGAGAGAGAGAAAATGGAGTTGTGATAAATCGGTAGGGTAATTACATGTACTGTGTAAATGAAAGCAAGACATATCTTTACTAGACTTTGCGCAATCTGAACAATCGAACAAGATTACTCACTTCACCTCGATTTAATACTTTGTCAAATGACAATGCTTGCAAATAGACCAAAAAAAGTCTTGCATGAATTATATTCTGTTTGTAGAAAGGACTTACAACAACAACGACAACTACCTGAAGCTAATGTTTCTACTCACGCAATGATATGCACATTGTGAAATGAGGACCGATCAACCAACCAGCAACGACAACAAAGGGAAAAGAAAGTGATGAGAAGAGAAGGACGGAAGAGCAAAGAAAAAAAAAGCTCAGAATGCCCTTAGTACCCCAGACCCAGAACAAAACGGCAAAGAATCCAATAAACGAAAAACGCCGCCAGTGAGTTGCAAACAGGTCATATCAGTCGTATCTATATCCAAGCAAAACGACCAAAAAAATGCAAAAGATTTTTCTTTCTTCGCTCTCGCCACAGGAAAACGCTCATTGGAGCAAGGGTAGAGAAAGGCAAACGATGACGCAAACAGTGACGAAGAAAAAAAAGTCCTGAGTGCAAAAAAAAAGATTTCGCGACGAATGGACTGAGTGATGTGAGGCAATCTCAAGTGGGTAAAAGGTAGCACGTGTCGGCACCATACTCGTACTGATGCTGTCCGGTCATTCTGTACGAGTCGAAAGAAAAGAAAAGAAGAAAGAAAGAGAAAAGAGAAAAGAGAAAAGAAAAAAGGTGTGAGTCGAATACTCCAGACCAACGTCAAACACGAGTTACGTTAGTAACGATGAAGATCAAAAGTCTACACTCCATCGAAATGCGGGATCCTTCTCTGGTGGGCCGGATTCACGGTCAAAAGGCACATTGACAATGGCATCTACCTCGTCATCGTCTTCCTTCTTTCGGAGAGTCTTGTCTTTTCGCGCTCGAGCAGCAATGTCTTCTTCTGAAGGGGGTAAGCGGATCTTGGCTTCGACCAGGGGTGCAGAGACGAAGCGCGAGGTTAGTAAGGCTTGGGACGAGACGAGATCTTGGAGGCAGTTGAGGGAGCTGAGGTCGGGAGTGGTGGAGCTGCGGTATGCGGGTTTAGGTTTCTCAGGGAGGGTATTCTCGTCTTGACCTGAGTTGCTGGAGGATACAGTCGAGAGTACAGGCCGGCTTTGATGGGTGCGGAGTACTTGAACATCGACACTAAGAGTGGAACTGCCGCGTACAGTAATATCGCTGGGGTCTGGAGAAGAATGCTGGGTGCTGGCGGTGTCTGTGCGTGCAATGGCCAGGTCGCGGGCCATGGCGGTGTCCCGTCTTTTCCTGTTGGGTGAGCTACTAGTGGCAGACGGGGGCCGGGCTTGCGGTGTCTTGCAGCGACCGTGTGCAAGATTCGAGTAGGAGCCATTTGGAGAGTTTGTGAGGCGATCGGGTGTCTGTCCCCGTTCGAGCTTTTGCATCAGTTGTCGCGTGCTCACCTGGCGACCCAGACTCAGCTCTACGCGACTGCTTGCACCACTGCCACTGCGACTCCGGTTCTTTGCTCGTTCTTTGCCTGCCATGACACTAGCTTTGGGCGGGGGCTGGAGCATCCACTTGTTTTCCGAAGGATCCGGCGACGGCAGGCTAACGACGGGTGGGTGCAGCTCATTGACCGGAGGGACGCGCGCGACATAATAGCTTCCAGCCCTAGACACATTTGGCCTTTGCAGTTGGTAGCCGCCACCGCCTACAGATGAGCCTGTCATTGTATGTTCGAGGGCTGTTGAATGGTCATCGTAACCCCACAGATCCTCGTCTTCTCGCTGGTAGCGCTTGTGGTTCCAGGTCTCGTCGTCGTCATCGAGCGTGTCGTCGCTGAGCCGGTTTTCAGCTGCATGGTCGACATCGAGGCTGCTTCCGCCTTTGCTCAGGGTCGAGCTCTGAGTGCCGCGGGTGGGCAGTCCCCTCGAGCCGGTCCTTTGTGTAGTGTTGGTCTTCCTCGCTCTTCGGGGTGGTGGGCCAGGGCCCATTGCGATTTCCTCGCTCCAGTAGGCATTTGTGCCAGTGGGTTCGGGATGGTAGTATGCGCCGGGCTGCTCGAGTTCCAGCTTCTCTCTCAGCTTGCGGGCCTCTTTTGCTGCTTTGCGTCTTTTTCTGCCATCGCTGTAGCCGGTACAGGGGGCGCATGAGGCGTAGTGGAAGAGAGCGCTCTGCACACCTCTCATGAACCAGGCCATGGTGTAGAGGCGGTGAAATGAGCCAGCTCAGAGAAGGAGAAGAGGTGTGGACGAGGTGGTTGGAACTCGACGGGTTTCGGATGGGCGCTGCGACGCAGGCCTGCCGAGCGAGAGACGACGTAGATGGGGGGAGCTTTCAGACGACGATGCAGCATGGAGAGTCATTGCCGCTCTCCTTCATGGAGCCTTCTTCAGTACGCGACAGAGTCAATTGCGGACTTGCAGCGGCCGTTTCGTCTAGTAGGTTTAAGGTGAGGGCGGCGCACGGATGCGGCTGGCGGCGGGTACGAGGGAGTAATAGGAAGGAGGATCAGGGCTCTCAGCTCACAATCCACAGCTCAGCGTGGCCCGTTTGTCAAGGGTGCAAGCAGGCGGTAATGGTAACGGGGAGGCGGGCAGGACGGGGGTGCTGCGCGCCTGCGTCTGTCGCGGATGTAGGGTGATGAAGAAGCCGGGCGACGAGCCGTGGGCTCGTTGTAGTGGGATGGATAGTATTGCTGGACGATCGTCATGGTCCAAGAGGGCCCGTTTCCGAAGGCGAAACGTTGTGCTTTGCTGCTGCGGTATTAGCGCGGCAGGGCAGGCCGTCCGAGCCCGAAATAGCGACCAATTTCCTCGTGTTGAAACAGGTGTACTGCTCGCCCTGCTCGCCCTGCCCTCGGCCCTACTCAACGCAGCGTGTAGCGATGATTACTAGCAAGTTGGCATTAGCAAAGCAAGCCTCGCTCGTATGCGGACGTGCAGGGCGGTGCCGTGCAGTGCAGTGACGGGTGCAGTACGCCACCAACCTCGTCCGGTCCTTGCAGCCTCACAGTTGCAGTATGGGGGCGGGGCTGGAATGCACAATCCATGGCGATAGACAGAGTGGACAGTGGATGTCGATAGCCGCGGCACAAGATAGGCCGTCGGTTGAGGTGCCATGCCAACACATGCATAAACTAGCGGGGTTGCTGCTTGAGCCTCCCGGCATGTCCTCCGTTGCCGTGTCCACCCATACAACCCATACCCTTGCCCGTGTCCCATACCCATACCCATACCTATACCCTGCCACCACATGGCCCGCGCCCCCCAATTGCGCGTCTATTGTACTGTACACACTCACAACTACTTTACATATGTACGTACATATTAGCATATACATGTGCCCAAGTACATACACAGCTACCTACCTAGTTACCTACGTAAGAATATACGCACTAAAACATGCACTTGGTATATTGCTCTTAGGAACCCTACACAACGCCTTGTCATATGCCTTCATAATCCACTCCTCTTCCCCTTAAAAAAAAGACTGACCCGTTGGTGCACAAAACTTACAAGGCCCCACGTCGTATCAGTTGCCTGCCGCAATTTGTAGAATTTTATCCACAATAAGTAAACTCTCTCGCTCTGGGAAAATATCTCAAAAAAAAGGAGCAGAGTAAGCAATCAGCACAGAGCACACGTCATGCCCACCCTCACTCCCTGATTTGCGCCTTCAGTCCTGCCACTTCCCTCTTCAGACGCGCGTTTTCTTTCCGCAGACGCGCTGCCTCCTCTTCGCTGGCCTTCAGTCGTCGCTCCACCTCCTCGCTAGCTCGGCCCTTTCGCGCGCTGCTCGTCACCTTCTCCAACTCTTCGTTGAACCGTGCATACAGTGCCTCATTCTCCGCGTTCACGTCGCGATACAGCTGGTCCAGATGCTTGCACCGCGCTTCAGATACCTGCAGAGATGTAGCTACGTCACTCGCTATCCCTGATGTGCGCGACGACAAAAGTTCCAATGTTGCCTTGAGTTGCTTCTCCAAAACTGCAATCCGTGCCTCTGCTGATCGTGCTCCGTTTGTAAGCGACAATGATGGCGCAGAGCTTTGAGTCGTCAGACGCGGTGTACCCTTAGTACTCAGTTCCTGTCCAATGGCACTCAGCTCGTTCTGCAGCGCATTCGACGCATCATCAATGTCTTGTTCTTGCTGCTGCAGTCGCTCTCGCAGCTTCTGTGGCGACTGCATCTTGAGCCTCTTTGGCGCACCTGTAGAACCAAGCCCCATCTTGGTCGGCGACCGTGGCGTTGAAGGCGGAAGCTTGACCGTATTTCCAGATCCAGTCCGCTCGTGCAATCCAGATCCCGTCGGTCGGAGACTTGGAATACCCGAAATCGTCTCGCTTCGCTTCTTCGTAGGGTTGAGCGACTTGATGGTCACCTCGTCCTTGACCTCCAGCTTCGGCGTAATCGACTTTGACCGAGAGTGCCCTGAACGTTCCGACCCGCTCGTCGCTGCATTCTCCTTCTTCTCCAATCGCATCGGAGATCCAAGTCGTGCAGGTGTAGGTATCGACGACGTATGCTTGTTGAGCAATGCCGCACTTGATGGCGTTTCTGGACGCGGCGAATCGCTAATCTGTCGATTTTCATGCCGAAGCATCGAATCGGTTTTGCGAGGAGTCTGCGGGGACCACTCAGGCACATCGTCAGCATCCTGTAATGTCTTGAGGTCACTCAGAGAAGAGCGCCGCTTCTTGCGGGGAGGCCCAGCAGCGGGCGGTACCTCTCCAATAGTTCCAAGAACCCCACTATAAGGCCGGTTGCTACTACTCGGGGGTTCAAAGTTGAACGCGCCCAGCACTGTCGGACGATCACGAGACGACGGACGCTTGGGCGACAGACGCGCCGCAGCGTCTGTCGAGTTGGAGCGAGCAAGGGGCCCGACTCCGTTTCTTGACATGCTTGGTGACTGCGCCTCTGACCCTCCATGACTGTTTTTACTCAGCGAACGCCATATTGCTCCTACTTTTGAATCGTTCTCAGATTTGCTGTTCTCCCGGCTCAGAGTACCAAAGCCGAATCGTCTCCTGAGAGACGTGTTCGGGTTCATCGAGCCAGCGGCCGCATAGCGACCCTTCGAATCCATGGATCCATAGATCGGCGTACTAAGACCGGGCGTCTGGACTGGGAAGAGTACATCGATATCTTCCACTAAACGGTCCATCAGCGATATGAAGTCGTGCGAATTGCCAGCGGGAACTAGCATCTCAGCAAACGCTGCAGTGAGAATGCCGCGGTCTCCATCGTTGCTAGTACCGTCCAGCAGTTCGGCCAACAGGTTAATAACTGCTCGGAATGCTCGCTGATTTGGAGGTGCAAACTGTTCAAGCATGTTTCTGAAAAACTCCTCGAATTCATCGGGCGGCATCGTGTCTGATCGCATTTGTAATGAGACCAGTGTAGCATGAGATAGCACCGGGCCCATGCGCTCTCTCCAACCAATGCTCAGGAACTTTTCAAACACTGCAAACAGTACGTCGACTGACGATTGACTGGCCAAATCGAGGTTTCCGGGATTCTCAAGAAGAGTGTTGTAGAGTTCGTTGACAACGAGTTCATCAGCAACAGTCCTTGCACGAACAGAACGCCCGACAATGTTGCCTTTGCGTGCGAGCAGAGCCAGCGTAAGATTCGCAAGAGTTTCTTCGAGTTTCGTAATGGGATCAGTTAGCATGCCGTTGAACGAGGTGCTCTTGTTGGTGCTCGATGAGTTGGGGCGTGACGATTCACCATCACGGCTTTGGGCGCGAGCAGGCACAGATTGTAGAGGCGGTGGTATCCGTGGTATCTCGCCCATAGTATGGGCATTACGTTGTAGTTTGCGTGAACCGCCGCCCTCCCTGCCGATGGTGCCACTGAGATTGCTCACACTTCCACCAAAGAAGCTCGATAACATCTTGACTGGAGAATGTGGACGGCTCTTGCTGCCTCGTTCTTGTTCCATTTCGTACATTTCAAGAGCAAGCGACTTGAGTATCTGGTGGTTTCGACGTAGATAGGCCTCAGTGAGTGCGAAATTCTTCACACTGTTGCGCAGCTGGAAGTAGTTGGTCATGCGCTTCGTCAGGACAGGCAGAAACTCCAGACTTGTCAGTTTGTCTCGTGCCGTGTATCCGTTGGTTCCGTTAGTTTCCAGGAGATACAGTCCCTCCCCAAGACTCGAGATTGTGATAGTAAGCTCGATACCATTGTTGCCAACTTGAATAGGCTGGGAGAACTTGGATCCCTCAACGAGAATCTGTATTTTAGCAGGCTCTTTCCGGCCCTCAATCTGCTTGCCACCTGTTTCCTCCGTGACAGACGAGAATATACTCAGGTCGCCTGGCAAGGTCCGGACTTCCCATTTGTCGCCTTCTCGCTCCGCTTCGGAAAACCTGCCCTCAACCCGAGCTTTAGTGAATTCCTCCGTGAATTTTTGTCCTTTACCCTCATACGAGCCTTGAAGATAAAACATGCGGATTCCAAGCCTCTGTTGTTGTTCTCGATGCCGTGACCGCGAGGAAGGGTTAGCTGATGGCACCGGGGATAGGACTTGGAGGATGTTTCCCTCTGAATGCTCGCTGATGAAAACATCGCCCAGACTCAGATGCTGATGAAATGTGAGCTCGGTGTTACCGTCAAATGACTCGGCAAACTTTGGATTGTCGAGTTCAGCGAGCAAACCACGGGCGGACATTGAGCCATATTCGGACTTTTGAAGAAGTATCAGAAAGTCAGTAAAGAGCACCATGATTCCGGATACTGTGGCTGGCCCAGACAGTTCGCCGTGATATGGTGGAGATAGTTCTACACAATCAACTGCTGTGATAAGTCGTCCTTGTGGGTTACATCCAGATGGCCATGACGAGACTATCTTGCGCAGACGGCCAGATATTCTGAATTTTTGTGCAGTCGGGCCCTCTCTTGTGCAAATGTCTGATATCATATCTCTCGCCTTGAGGAATAGTTTGATTGCCGGGTGCCGGACTGGCAACTGTTTCAGAATATTATCAATATAGAGATTGTATCGGGGGAGGCGTTGGACGGGTTCAATCAACATGGACGTGAGTCGCTGTTCACCTGTCTCGTAGACACGTTTGGAGAAGCTGGAGGCTGAGTCCTTGGTAAAGTGCTTTAACAGTTGCGAGAAGTCGCCATGTGCTGCCATGTAATCAGTGTAGCAATCAGAGAACTGCGGCAGCCACTCGAGAAGGGTCCTTGCGACTGCAGCCGCTCCTGTGACGTCAGGTGCATCTTTTTGTCCTCGCAAAGGAGCGATGTAGACGTCGTCTGCGGCAGTTTCAATATCTTCAATTGCTCCATTCTCCGACTCTTCCAGCACAACGCGCAGGGCTTCCAGGAATTGCGAATTGACTTCCAATATCTTGTCTAGACTGGGAGGAAACAGACCCCGTAGTGCTTGCTCTGTTGGGCTACCACTGGAACTTGACTTTGATTTTGCCTTTTCACGAAACTCAACAGCTACCGTATGAATCAATTCGTCCAGCTTGCTCACGTAGTTTTCTTCCGTATCCAGCAATTCGCACATCTCGCGCCGGAGCGTCTCTTTTTGCTTTCTTGAGAAATTCTGGGATCGGTTGAGGGCCGTCGGTTTTGAGGGCGCACGGCGGAGCTTGGCAGTGGGCAGGAATGCCGATTCTCCAAATAGCTTAATGAGAGGTGCGAATTCTTCATACTTTTGCTGGGTCGGGTCTTCTTCGGTGTCGTCAAATTGGGCTGACTCTCTCGGATTGAGCTTGCGGATGCTCCCCTGCGGCAGGACAACATCGAGGTCTATCCACGAGAGCGTTTGCTCACCCAAGGCGTGCCGCACGTCTACTATGACATCCATGACATTCTCAACCTTGACCATCTTGGCGGCGATGATGGCAGCATGCGACTCCGAGAACAGCCTGGGCGCCGAGTGCAGGCTCTCCGACGAGCCATAGCGCCTGCTCCATGCGCTCTTGATCTCAGTGGGCAGCTCGAGGAAGTATTTGTAGAGACTGAAGGCAAGACCGCGGCATATCTCGTCGCCCTGCTCCTCGCGAGGAAGGCATGTTACGGCATTGTAGAAGGTGGCTGTCGGGGATATAATCAGGCGGGCGAAGTTCTGCAGGCCGGCAGGCGTAAAGACATGGGCTTGGATGCGCGAATGCGTGGCCTGGGTGGAAGTTGCGGTCGGGCCGTAGAAGATCAGGACGGGGGAATTGGAGAGCAGCTCGTCGGTGGTGTAGAAAAGCGACAGGTCGTCTGCGGAGAGGGCCGCGGGCTCGGGGTTAATTACGACGCCCATGGTGTCGAGGGCGTGGAAACGAGTGACGAGGCCGGAAGGGTACAGCGAAGCAAGTGACCAGGGCGACAATTAGGTTAGTGCATCGCTTGCATGGCGCAGTCGCGTGGGGACGGACAATGGTCGTGGTGGAAGCCGAGGCGGCGGTGATGGTCGTGGTCGTGGCAGTGGTGGTCGAGGTGGAGGTGGAGGTGCTGTCGTCGTAGTAGTCGGGTAGCCATACAGGACAAGGGCAGCAGGCGCGTGTCGAGTCGAGTCGAGTCCAGACAACAACAACACAACAACAAGCTGGCAGCGATCTGTTGAAGCCTGAATCAAGGCGGTCGTGCAGCAGCGACCAAGCGCGGGCGGGAGACTAGACGGCGAATTGCCAACGTGCAATCAGGGCGACAAGGAGACGCATGGGGGGGTCCCGGTCCTAATCACCGCAGTGCCAGGTATTCTTGGTGCGAATACATGGCCCTGCAGCCTACTTTTGCTCCATCCATCCCTCCGACCCGCCTGCGAGCTAGTTGCGCATCAACCCACCCCGCAGTGCCGACGAATATCAAAACATCGTCATCATAGCAGCTCGCGGTGGCGGCTGACTTCATATGCTCAAATCGCCCACGGCACGTTTCATCGCGCATCTGGGCTGGTAGACTGCCCGGCTCCAGCAATGGCCACGCAGCACCAGGGCGGGCTGCCCGTCTCCATAGCACACCAGCAACAGCATTTCCGCCTGCTCGAGCTGCCCCCAGAAATCGTTGAGCTGATAGACAAGCCAAATCCTCCGCTGTATGTCTGCCGCCGTGTCGCATTGGATGCCGACTCCCTTTTCTCACCACGCGTGCCAGACTGTCCATCAAATCGCAAGCTTCTTCCGCTGCTACTGGCACGCATAACGCAAAGCCCGCATATGCTGTACTCTGCACCCCGGACAAGTCGTTCCAGGTGCGCCAGGTCCAGACGTCCAACTCGCTCTTCGTGACCCAGCCAGCCCTCGAAGCCCATGGCAACGAGATCCCCATCCCTGTCACACGCGCCATTGCTCTGTGCAGCTCCACACTCGAGCTCCATGCCTCTTCTGCCTCTGCCATTGCCTTGTTGAGAGAGGTGCTCCCTGTATACGACATTGTTACTGGCGACGTCGACGCCACTCCGAACGGCATGACCAAGGCTGGTATATTCAACGACATGCCCCTGTCCGATGGAGAGTGCCAGGCAGGGTGGGGGCAGCTCATGGCCTTTGACACAGATGAGGGCTCGTATCAGCCATCTCCGAGCGCCCTCTCCCATGTATGGAGATCCATTATTGCTGCTGCATTAGCAGAGGGGATCCCCCTCGACAAGCAGTTCATGACCAGCGACATCGCAACGGCCGTGGCTGAAGAAGGGCACCCCGCTCCTCTCACACAAGCCGTGCTTGCGTACTTGGCAACGGATGACACTGACAGGAGCGGACCGTGGTCTTGTCTTGACCGAGCAAAGACAGTCGCCTTTACCGGGAAAACCCTGCTAGATGCCAGGCGCGGTGATGACTTTTTGATTGCTGATTTCACTGATACGTGGGAGGATCGCCTACCAGAAGTATGGCGCAAAGATGCTAAGCTTACAGCCATCGAAGGCTTTTATGAATTTCCTTCAGATACAACCATCAAGGCTAAGGGCAAGGCTGTATCGGCCCCGGTGGTGGACAACGGAACGACAGCTCTAAAGCCGTCGGCGCGTAAATGGCATGAAAAATTTGCCAAGACGAGAAACAAATAGACCATTCTTATCGTTGTGCTGGGTGATGAGGTCTTCATCACGTGATCCTGTTAAGAGCGCGTCTATCGGCATCCGACAGCCGCGACTAGCGGCTTGGTAATATTTTGTAATGTAATGCAAAATTGATAAGCTGCAACTGGCTAGTACTACACCCCCGCGTTAACATTTATGTGCGCCACCCAGATAACTAAAACTGCGATTTTGTGTTTTCTTTCGGTGCAACTCTTTCCTTAGCTTATGAAGCGAGTCCAATTCTTGGGACTACTCACTAGACCTACACGGACATACTACACTAGAGTTCCAAGGCAGTATTTTGTAACCAAGGCTACTCTCCAATACCCCGTTTCCCCTCCAGAAACCATGTCTACCAATTCAGGCAGCAATGGCCCAACTGCGCCCGCACCTCCAGTAGACAACGACGCTGCCGTCAAGCCCCATTCTGAAGAAGAGAAGCCCCTGCCCAAACTCACGCCTTCTGAATTCCGACAATACAATAGAATGGCTGTGGAAATGAACCGCTATCATGAACACTTCCGCGCAATGTGGAAAGTCCTCTACACAGCATGTGAAGCTGGGAAAAGGCCCGAAAACATGTCTATCCGCCAATTCATCAGTACATGCAAGCAGTTTTGCCGTAAGACTACTTTCCCCTCCCATTCATCATCTTCCCTTTTACCCCTTGCCCAATATCCAAAACATCGATATCGAATCCCCCTCCCCAAATGAATTATATAAAAAAAAGAACTACTAACACTCATATCTCTCTCCCAAAAAAGAAGGCTTAACCTTCCACCACACAATAGAAGAACAACACGTCTTCCCCATCCTCGCCAAGCGAATGCCCGCCTTCAAGAAAGAACTCGAGCTCATCTCCCAGCACAAGCAGATCCACGTCGGCATCGACAGGGCCGAGAAGTACCTCCAAGAATGCGAGTCTGGGGAGCGTGAATTACGCATGCAGGAGATGAAGGAGGTTCTGGATTCGTTTGGCGAGGTGCTGTGGCAGCATCTCGATGATGAGGTTGAACAGTTGGGCGCGGAGAATATGAGGAAGTATTGGAGTTTGGAGGAGATGAGGAGGATTCCTTTGTAGATATGAGAGATGAGATATTTGGGATTTTGTTGTTTTCCTTTTTTGCCTTGGGTGAAAGGGTGAGTGGGTGTTTGAAACGCTGGGTATAGACGTTTGAGACGTCACGCTTTTCGTTTCCATTCTTTTTCATTTTTTTTTGGTTAGATCCGTGAGACATGGAATCAGATGCGTTTCTTGATACAATTTGCATGTCTGAAATTGGCCTTTGCGACAAACTCATGGGATTCTTTTTGTACTCCCCTTTTTAGCACTTTTTTTCCATATTCGAAACACGGTTCTACGTCACCAAACCTCGAGACTTTTGACACTTGACACCGTCGAACCTTGTCTCCCCGTTCCGCACTACAGACCCTGACTCTAACTTTTTTCTTCTTTCCTTTTCTCCCTTTTGACACATTGATCCGAATCCTTAGCGCCTCCTAGCACGTTGGTTACAAACCCGACAGCACAACATGAACACCCGTAACCTTCCCATCGCAAACATGCACGGCAAAGGCATCCTAAGAAAATGTACATTCAATTGATATATTCTACTTCTACATTACACACCCGTCTGCAAGATCCCAAGGAAAAAAAAACATGCTACAGCGCGTTGCTTTTGTAAGAGGGAAAGCCGATGAACCTGGGTATGTCGATTAACAGAAAATGAAAAGAAAAAAAGAGTAAGCGAATGGATATTGCTGGCCTGCAGATTGAATTAGTACAACGGATACCCCGTCCGATGATAAAGAGAAGAAGAAAAAAAGGAAAAGAAAAAGAGACGCCATCGCAAGTCATATGTAGTCGACTCATTCGGCTTGCGAAACGGTTAATCGATCAGCGGGGAGAGGGCTGGGCTGGGCTCATGTAGTAATATTCAACCCGAGCAACGTTTTCCGCTTCAAACTCAAGAAGCGCTGCGGACTCTTGAATTCCCAGTCGATTCTCGGTGTCCAGCCACCTGCAGAGACTACGTCTGGAAGCGTCGGCGCATCGGAAGCGCTTCGGAAATGGACTGGACTCGGAGGCTCAAAACCATGGCTTGCTGCTGTGCTGGGACGAAAGCCGCTTCGCGTTGGACTGCGATTTGAGTAGCTAAAAGATGTGTCGGTGGGACTTGCGAGTTGTTGCCAGGGACCGCCTAGGCGTCGAACGATTCTTGCTTCTTCGCTTTCGCGCCATCGCTTCTTTTGCTCGGCGGATGCGAAGACCGAGAGTGTGTTTGTGGATTTGGACATGAGGACAGAGAAACGCTCTGAGAGGATGGAGCTGCGCACGGATCTATCCGCTGTTTTTGGACGAGCATACGAACTGCGACCTGAGCTTCGCCTCGTGTCTGGGACTATCGGTGGTGGTGTGAGAGAGCTGCTTGATGCGTTTCCGAGATCGATTTCTATGATTCTAGGTGGACCAAGTGGCCAGGTGGGTTTCTCGATGGTCACCTCTCTGTCCTCTTCGTCATCTTCTTTTATCGTCCTGAGAGATTGGGTGTCATATCGTGTTTTATCAGATGATGCTGACCGAGACTCTTGCTTCTCTACGTCTCGCTGAACTTGCGGCTGAGAATAACTCCCTTTGCCCTGGGCGCCGTTGGGTATGTGCCACCGAAGGTCTACGCGAAAAATAGCGTACATGAGTATCGTTTGGATTTCCACGAAGAAGTTGAAGAAGTAGAATGCTCCTTTTCCAAGATATCCGGGTAGAGGTTCCGATCGCGGCGTAGGTGCTTGCAGAATGACACCGCAGCGATACCATGCACCAAGAGCTAGAAGTGTTGTGCTGATGAGCAAAGTGAAAACTCTTGTGCGCAGCCGGCCGACGCCAAACTTGTCAATCGACGAATAGGGGGCGGCAATTGTAGCGAAAACCATGGGTAACGGTAGCGTGGCGATAATGGCGAGAAATGCTGCACCAAATCGTTGGAGGCCTCGAGTAGTAGCCTGAATATTTTTGTTGAGAGTAAAAAAACTTTGGACAGAAGCACTAATGACTGTAATGATGGTGAACACAAGCAGTACGCAAATGACTTTGAACGCGATGCCGAAAGCAGGGTGCCAGCCGGCCGAGGGATGTATGGAACGGACGAGGCGCATTGCAAAGACGATATTAATGACGAACAAGATGACTACACCAGCTGCGACGAACATTTGCGCAGCTATCGCGAGCGAGGTGCTTGTCGGATGTGATACTGATGCTAGCCGTACTATCGATGTCAAGATGCGCTCCATACAGAAGCCTAGCTAGGATATCAGTGCCGGGCATTCCATTCTTACAAGACTTAGACACTTACCGAACATGAAAATGTTTGGCAGAAACTTGTGACCTCTGGATTTGTTCCGTCGAAAGATTCTCATATGTACAACTGCTCCCACGACGAACAAGACCAAGAAGACCGATTGTACTGGAAGGTCGACGCTTCTTACTGGAGACCCACCCAATGCCCATACTGTAGGGGCGTATGGAGGGCTTCGTGCTGCCTTCTTCCAAGTTAGCCATTGGTTGCTCTAGTTTTGGACAATGCCTTGAGTGAAATCTTGTTACTTACCATTGGTGAAGGCAAGCCGCTCTGCGGTACCATTGTGCTCTTGTCCTGCAAATCACCTTTGATATTCTTGAAGGAAAACTGGGGTCAGCGAGAGCGCCGGAGTGCGTGAAGCGCCAGCACTTAAAGGATGAGGCGGCGGTTGAAAGGTCCAGAGAAACTTCGTGCGGAGGGCACAAAGTTTATCATACTCATCACTCTGCGATGTGCCAGCCTTTGAAGGCTGGCACCAGCATGTGTCAAAACGGAAGTCAAACATGTGAGTTGTGACTTGTCCATGCGTCCAAACAGTGTAGTGTTTGATGTTGGGGTCTGAGCCGCGAGGCCAAAACAACGATCATTGCGCTATTTTAGGGCTACCGCTCCACTAGCCGGAATTGAGCATCTCCACACGGGATGACATCGTTGATCTACAGTAGATCTTTACGTCCCGTAAATGCCATTGGCCCTGGTTTTATCATTTAAGTATACGATAGTTCTTTGAGGACAATATTCATCAAGCATTGCACCTCGTCACACTTTAAAGTTGTGCTGAACAAAAACTTCTCTTCTCTATTCCATATGCAGGCAAAGTCGTGAACAGCAGTTGTCAAGCTTTATGAGTACGGCAGTCAAAGAGAGGACAAGGGCATGAAACGCCACCTTTACTTGTTGGTATCCGAACGAAACACTGATTAACTGGCAACTTGTATACTCTGGGAACTTCTACCTGCGACTGCTATCTACCCGAGGCAACATAGTTTGGCTGACATCACGGCAGCGCGTAGCATTCACTGTTCTTGTTACTACGGGTAGTTGACTTACGGCGTCCCTTCCCGTCCCGCTGCGGCTCTCGAACTTAAAAAAAAAGGAGCCAATCATGGTATATGGCGCGAGACTCCATTGTATGTTTAACTGCACTGACTGTGTTGCTTACAGAAGTCAATTCCTCATATCCTTCCTGTTTGTATTCTCATAGGTGGTATGATGACGCTGAGAGCAACGTATGTCACCTAAAAGTTTAGCAGCTTGATCTGCGATGTCCCTTGATCATCATAGGAATCAATGGTGCGGTTTATGATGCAAGATCAATGACTAGAGTATGGAGCTTCTTTTTCACTATTTGCTTCTCGATTATCGGAGTAGTATCGAATACTGGAGAACCATCAAGGGCCAGCTCTCCATGAAGCCTTTGGAGGAGAGAGAACTGGTAATATTCGTACATGCTCTGAGCTGCTGATGAGTGTCGATTACGTCGATTTTGGGCCAATCTGCCAGTCTTGAAGCCTGGATGGGTTGCGCGATCCATGAACTTCTTGTCTATCCTTTGGCATGGCGCATGAAGTATGTGGAATTGCATCTGCAGGCGAAGGCAAAGGTCCGATTTCTAGCGTGAGAGTACGAACGATGTCATGTCTCCTTGTTCTTGTTGACAAATAGTTTCCTCGACGATCTGGCTGCCTCACCAAAGCGGTTTGGAGCTCGTGATCAATGCGCTTATCATGAGCGACACGAACATCTGGAATTTGCTTTAGTGTGGGACTACGCATCCATTTAGGCGTTTCATAGGCTGCAGAAGCTCTGTCTGGAGTTCTTTCTATAGATGTGCTGCGTCCATCTGCGTGCTGCATCGTGTGGGGAAGCGGCGTTTTTCCTAACGTGACTATGTTGTACATCTATACTCGCATTAGAAGTAGCATAGGCCTCGTTTGCACCAATCGTACAGGACCACCTAACGGATCCGCAATCGGCCCATCGAGTTGGCTATCCTCTATGGGATCAGTCACCCCAATGGAATCGGAAAAAGTAACGTTCATATTCTAGAGTGTGCACCGTTAGCGTCATACTAAGTGCTCATCTGCGACAGCCTCCTACACTCGATTGAGGCAACGCATCGCTTGTTGTAGTTCGCAAAAGAGCAAGCTGATGCACTGGCAGGCGTATTTTCTGGGTGGTCAAGTGTTTCTTCGCCTCCTCGTTCATGAAGGAAGCCCCTAGTTTCCGTGTGGACAGTGTGATACGCGTTGAGTCAGATAAGTGCCGTGATTTGTTTTTGTGTTTTCTGTTGCTGTATACGCGCACGTGCAGCGGTTCAGGTGGGGAGGGTGGGATATCATAGATTGACATCATATGAGATTGTTGTTTCAACAGCTGTCTATCGCCTTATGGAGGACTGTTGACTTTCACCATCCATATGTTGCGTCTGATCTGAGATGGGTCCGGTAGAGGCTTTTTTGGCGATTAGGACCTCGAAATAGGGTAAACAAGTGGGGTGTCAATGGTAAGTAGCGAACATCTCATACTTTAGGCAGTCACTACCACGCAATTAGCAATGCCCATGACACCAACTTCGAGTTTTCTAGAATAGGTGTAATTTTAGTCAAATATATACAAATCCATCCTAAGAAATCGATTAAAACTAGTGCCAAGTCGTGCAGCCTACGCGCTACAGAGCTAGAAGCTGGTAAAGTAGCTAATTCGAACACGTTTCACTCACGAAAACAAAAAGACACAGACCACCTAGCTGCTTACTAAGAAAGAGCTTAGTAAGAAGCTTACTAAGAATGCCGCCAGAAAGCGACACTATACGAGTTAATACTCAAGAAAATAGACAGGAAAGCCTAGGTCTAGAGGCTCAAATCGACAGAGAAATGGACGTAGAGTCCCCACCAGCCACGCCCACCCAACCAGCCAGCCAAGCTAGCTTATTTGAGCTGCCAATACTACCACCAAACAAACGGCAAGCCAACTTCTCACCAGAAATATCCCAGCCAGCCCAAAACCTATTCCCAAGCCAAAGCAATTAAAAGCCAACAGCTAAGAACGCGCAACAAGCAATTCAGT